TTACTTCTGTCTTATAGTTTCTCTTCGTGCTCGAAGATGGATGATTTTTTTTTATTAAAGTTGAGCTAAAACTTTTTCAACTTCACACCGAGCTGCATGTTTCAGACAGAGAGAAGATGGCAAAAATAACTGTTGTAATTAACAGTTCCTGGTCATTTACTTCGCTGTTAAAATTCCACGAGGGAGAAAAAATTACATATAATTAGTTGCGTGAAAGTGTAGTCATCAGTCAAGTTAGTTCCAACAGGGATGAGATTGTCAATTTTTAAAAAGTCTGAAAATTGGACTGAAGGTCTGAAAGATGCATTTCTTTCTATACTGATCGTGTCTTTCTCTAAGATTCAAAAAGTCTGAATTCAAACAAAAGTCTGAAAAATCTCATGCCTGTTCCAATTACAATCTCAATTTGTTAGGGACAGGGTACAGAAATCATCAGTGTCACAAACTGACTGGTTGAATCTCAATATTGTTGGAAAAGATCTTTTTGATTCACTGTTTAGCTAGCATTTAAGGCCTTTTCACACTGTCGCCTCCCCTACCCAGGTTGAATTCAACACAGGTCCAAGGAAAGTGGAACTGAGTCCCATCAAACACGGGCAGGCAAGGGGTACTGTTCACCGGGTGTACATAGGTCAGCTGTAGATTTTGGATTATCTACCTAGGTAGAGCCAGGTAGAGTCCAACCCTGGTCCCGGGATCAGTATTGGATTTTACTCGGGTACAGTGCTGGACATGTCTAGAAGCCGTGTTGGATTCTTGCTACTGTGGAAGGGGCCCAGAATCTCTGTGTTGGATCAGGGTTCAACACAGAGATTTTGGATGGAAAGTGTAAAAGTGCCAGATTACACACAAAGACGTTCATGCGTACTTTACTTTCGTAACTATAGCATTTATGTGGGATGATTATATGCCACAAGCAGATCCTATAACTTTTTGAAGGACAGTTTTGTTCAAAGAACACTCACAAAACCAAACAGTTTTGTGGCCCTTAAACTATGCCGTTTGTCCTGTGACTAGTAAATCCCTTGTGTTTCTGTGGTGCCAGAGTTCCCTGAGAAATCCCTGTTGGTTATTGGTGGAGAATATATCGTGATTGACTAGCAATTGTCTTCTTTTGATTGACACGAGTGACAAGTGTGTCGGCCCACAGAGAGAGAAGTCAGTCCTGGCCATACCCATTTACGCCACCATTTCCTACTACATGCATCTCAAATCCTCTTTATTCTTGCCATGTATCATTATCCATAAATTTAGAGTCCAAAGTGTGACATTTTTCCTGTCCTTGTTACCTCTGAACTTTGTAGTTTGTCATTCAATTGTCATTGAAAAATAACTCTAAACTATTTTTATTTGTTGGGAAGGTAGTTTGCTCACGCTTGGTCTCTTGGAGGAAGAATACAATTAAGGAGTGCATCCACAATTTTAAAATCACAGATGTCAGATGTAACCAGGACATGAAAAAAAGTGGATCTCATATTTATAGAATGACCCATAGTCCAATATTGGAAAAAGCGTGTAAAACTAATATTACTGTATCAGGACCACAGTTAAACTTTCAAAAGGTTTTCATAGTGGTTGTGTCATCTCCTTGAAATTTGGTGGACATGTGTATTGTTTAAAATCCTTTAACAGGCTCCTATTTTCAACATTGACCTAAAGTGCAAAATGTAGAGTGAAACACATGCAGTGCAAAAATATATACTGTCACTTGAAACAACCAGTCCAATATTTCAGCACTTGGCTAAGTATTTAAGTGTATGAAAAAAGGACGTCTATTGACACCATACAAAGTCACTTCCAAGAAATTCCCTCAAGGGTTATGCACCTGACTACTAAAACTTGTGAAAAAGCCATCTTTAAAAGATGACTTGTCCTTTAAGTTTGAGAACATTCTATACCAGAATTGAATAGAGACCTAACATTGGACTGTTGAAATACTCGAGAGACCCCATCCTTGCTATTTCTAACAATTCCAAAATTTGCACTGCTGAATGAGCCTTTTTTAACAACTCAAAAATTGGCGTGCTATTTTACGTCCCACGTTTTTCTGCACTAAACAGCGAGCTTGAATCTCACCAGTCAGGAAATGTAGTGGATTACCACATGTAACAGACACGGTTGACACAAACCCAAGGCACCTCAATCCGGTGTAAGCCACCTTTCATCATCCCCTCCAAAATTTCAGGATCAGTGAAAAGATCGGCATAATTACCACACAGAGCTAGGACCCAACCTAACCCAACATTTTCCAACTGGAAATGACAGAGGAGTTTCATTTTTCACCTCCCTCCCCCAGCCCCCTGGCAGTTTACACAAGCCCAAGGACTGATCTATTTCACTCTGAACCGTCAACAATCCAGAATAGATCCAGGTAATCCGGAATAATGCATTTTGTAAAGGTTGACCTTGGTATGAAAATTGCCATCACTGCAACAGTTGACCACCCATCCTAATTGCGGTTATTTATGCCTGTGATCCAGTAATTTGTGTGCTGACAGGTTGATTTTTTGCTTTTGCCTGTAGATTTCCTTGCCATGTCTCTGGCCTTTTGGGGGCTGGGGGTTGTTTTACACTCCTACTTTCCTGTTTTAAAAATCATCTCACAGTTTATTTTGGGTTATTTTATGGATTTTCCCTGGGCTGGGAGTGTTGCGTATGGTTATGTCAAGTGCACTGTTAGTGCTTTATGGGGTTTGAGTTTAAGTTGTCTGACCTCTTTGATAAATTTCCAGTCAGTCCAATACGTCTGTTTCATGTCATAAGTAACTAAAGGCACTTGATGATTTGCTTGTAATATCTAGACTAAATTCTGTTGAAACTATATCATTTTTTTCTTCCAGGGTGGTTTTGGATTTCCTTAACCCCTGATAAGGGTGGTCTGATATATGAAAATATAGCGGGGACACCAAAAGTTGAGCTAAAATTTCAGATAAAAAAAAAGAACAAAATTGTAAACAGGGACTTACTAACCAAATGCTTATCAATAAATCAAAGTGAATGCATTTATTTTCTTGTCAAATCTATGTTTAATGTACATTTTCTTGCAAGACACCAGTGGCGTAAATTGGGGGGGGGGGGGGGGGGGGGGGGATGGTGAACCAAAATCCTAAAATTGCCCGGTCGTGGAAATTGGAAAAGCTGGGGGTAGGGGATGATCCAATGACCACCCCCCCCCCCCGGTTAAAAAATGTGGGTATAATATGCTCCCCATCACCCAGGGATTTATTTAGGCCTACGCCCTTGCAAGACACAATTTCGAACCCTCCTATCTCCCCATATCCAGACTACATCTCTCATGTCTAAAATTGTTGTTTATAGAAAAGTATTTATAATGCTTATTTTAAAAAACAACTGTCAACTGCGTTCGTTTCTCTTTCACACCTCAAACGCGGTGTCTAACAAACCGAAAGCTTTCTCAGTTGCATGAAATTGTAAAAAAAAGGGAAATATTTAGGGACACATCAATGAACCATAGACACTCTTCAATTACAATCAACACCTTTACTGAAACAACGGCCTTCAGAAAAATCTCAATTAACTTAATAGTGGTTATAACAGAGACATCTTTTGAGCTGATAGCGTGAGAGGAGTGTGAGAAGATCTGAATTTCTGCCTGACACTTTCACTAGGGTGATTATAGATAATTTGCGGCATCGCAGGTATAGAACAAAAGGGACTGTGCTAGCTTATTGGTTTTACATTAGTCCTTTTTAATTTGGGCATTGTACTTTCACACATCACTGTGTAAGGGCATGCAAACAGGGTGTGAAACGAGGAATGTTTGCATTATTGTGCTTGAGTTCCTATATCAGTAGCGGATCTGGGGGTAGGGGTTGCAGCCCCCCCCCCCCTCCTTTCAGCCGCTGAAAAAATGTAATGATACGACTAAAATGGGGCCAAAAATAATTACATATTTGGCTCAAAGTTCCTAAATATATTCTCAACTTGCCTTAGGTTGCACCCCCCCCCATATGTGTTGTGTCCCTCCCACTTGGACTCTTGAAACTTGTCACAAACCACCATCAACTTTTTATGCACGGAATCAATAGCACCAGCACCAACCCCAAAACATGTATAACAACAGTGTAGGAAAGGCTAATGGTGTTGGACTTGCCTGTAGAACTTGTCCAAGTTGTCCCCTGTGTGTCATTAGATGTTATGCCAGTGTTGTCTATTATGTGCCTGAAAGAAATACATCCTGTGTGTACACTTGAGATCAGCGAGAGCAGTGTTAATGTCATCACAAGGGAGGTGTGACTTAGCTTTTTCAGATAATCTTGCTGATACTTCCAATTTCCTGCTGTCATTGTAACACCCCCAGCCCCTCCTCCCAAAGCTCCGAGTTCCCTTCACAATTAAATATCTTGTCTGCCCAGTTATCAGTGGACAATCCCCAATACCTTTGGGGAATGAAACCTCATAACTGTAAAATCCTATCAAATTGAGTCCCTTCTCGATGGCTTTCACTGGTTTGTTTAGACAGTTTGTTAATTCTAATCCACTCCCAACGACTCCCTTTTGTTACGTACTTAAAGTTGCTGGCAGTGTCTGGGAGGTTAATTACACCGTGTCCATTCGGGCACTTCCACACAACAGCGGACACGGCTGAAAAGTGGAAAACCTATGAAATTTTTAGAATATAATACAAGCATCACAACCTTAAATGTGGCATAAAATTGAAGAACTTTTATTTGAGTGGTGTGCCAATAAGATATGGAATATTTACGGTTAAACGTGTTTATTTTTGTCAAACGAGACCAAGGTTTTGGGGGCCCAATATTGTGAATTTTAGGTAGTCACTTTGGCATCCTGTGTTCGTATTTTTATAACATAACTGACCGAGATGCCATGTCACATTGCAACTCACAAAACATGTCCAATTTTGCTTATGGCATTGCTAGTGTTGCTATAGCATCGTGACTTTGGGCGTGGTCTCTTGCCACATGGCATATAGTGCCCCCGAACGCAGACATTGACAAAGTGAGGAACCACCAACATAGGGCTGGATAGCTCAGTTGGCAGAGCGCCAGAACGGAAATCTGGAGGTCGCAGATTCAAATCCAGCTCCAGTCAATTTCTTGTTCAACTTTTCAAAAAAAATGGAATTGTGTTAGAGAGTACATAAACTTTACAAAATGCTACAGTGACATTCTACAGTGGGAGGAGACACATTGCCATTTTTCAAATTCAATTTAGTGGAATGAATTAGGGCGTTCCCAGCATTTGTCAGGGAATGTCTTGACATTGTATGAAGCCATTCTTTCCTTTCACGTTTTGCGTCTCTTCATTTCAACCAAGTCATAATAGAGTCTTAAAATGTGAACTGAATTAGTCTTACTTTACACAATAAAAGACACAAGGAGGCATCTTACTAGACTGAAAGTGAAGGTAATCCTACATCAACTTCTCACTTCGAGGTGTGACTTAAGGCAGGTGAAGCCAGGAGGATTAACACCTTGAATCAACTGGTGGTAGATTAGAAAAGACCTCCATGATAGCACCACGAGGTCTGCTTTTTCTGTATTTTTTTCTGGTCCCAGATGGCCAACCTAGAATCATCTTTGTACCCAACTCATTTACTGACTGACGCACCGACTACCTGGCTGTCTCTTGTGACATATACTGATCTATTATGTACAATGTATAAGGTTCACGAGGATTGGCTATAATTATGTGACGGTAGCATCCTACCGTCACATAGAGTCTGGCGCTTTTTTCACCTAATTTCATGACACATGTGTAGGCAAGTCAAGTCTCCATGCAAGCAGTGAAAATGGATATTTCATTGTAATTATTCACCAAAAAATACACGTTAGGCTCTCCCAGTGGCGTAGCCACGGGAGGCGGGGGGGGGGGGGGGGGACAGCCCCCCCCCCGAAACCTTGTCGCCCCCCAGTCGCCCCCCCCCCACTGAGATTTTGAGTTTCTAAAAAAATTATCATTGATCTACATGACGCCCCCATGAAATGTTCCAGCCCCCCCCCCCTCCAGCGCCCCCACTGAAAAATTCCTGGCTACGCCACTGACGTTAGCATTATACAAACCTTCAAGCCATTCTGAATCAGTTAGATAGAAATGTGTGTGCTCTTGAACCAGCTTTACTAGGCCTGCCTTGTCTTGTTTTGAATAATATTTGACCTTCACATTTTTTCTCACTTCAACATAAAAAAGGACTTTCGTGTACTGATTGGCAGTAATGAGAGATTAATGAGAGGGAGAGAACTAATGCAAAGAAAACTTTTTGGTTTTAACCCCCGTTATTCATTTTCAGTATTAAACTACAGGTATGTGAATTATTTCACTGCAAAGGGATTTTAAAATGAGCGAAAAGGCAAAATAAGGATCATAATGTGTTACCAAGCACTGTAGGCATTGATTCGGGGGGGGGGGGGGATATACTTCCCACTCTATGACATTTTATCACCACTTAGTGTAGTTCGGGGAAAAATTGTAAATAAAGCAAGAAAAAATCCAAGCCACTCCAAAAACCATTTCAGGTTACAATTTTACAGTATAGGTGTGAAGTAAAAATTTCTAGTAATGGACATAGAGTGCGCACATGTGCATTAATGAAGCATTCATATACAAGAATGAACTAGGCCACCTTACAGTGTAAATTGGTGTCCAGCCCCCTCCCCCTTGAAATCGTGCCCTATCTCTCTCCCCTTCCCTCCCCCTCCTCCATTCGTCGACACAAAGCACTTAAAGTGGAAAACAGTCTGCATACAACACTTTAATTCATTTTGGTATCTTAGTGACCAAAGCCTGAATGAGAGACTTATAATTTGCTCTTATTTCATCTACATTTAGGCGTATGCTTTCTTTGGGAAAAAATCCTGCAAGAAAAAAAAAAGGAGTCATACATGCTCTATTTATCCATAAACACGTTCTCACTGTAGTGCTACATATCAAATGCAGACGCAGAACTATATGCTCGAGGAAGTAGCACCCACTATTGTGTAATTTGTGTTGTCAAGAAAAAAATAATTAGATGTTTTGCAGAGAGTTAAATGCAAAGCAAGAATAGGGCAACACTCCTGTCTTATTGTGTTTCTCTGAAGTGATCATTTGCCAGCGGAGGTCTTTTCTCTTTGAACAAATAGACGCTCCAATTGTTGAGTGCCTCTCTTTTTCATCGGGTGTAGTGTGCCTCACACCGGTTTGCAGCCGAACAAAGTGGGCATATCATTCATGTAATGTAAAAACCTCCTTTGGCTAAATACAATTTGCACAATCATCTCGGTGCTCCATTATTTCATCTCACGGTGGGTCGAGACAACAGCTATGCAGGGAGGAACGACTTGGGCAGAGGATAATTGGGCCGCTGCATAGTTGTCAGGAAAGTAGATGTTTTTAAAAGGGTGGTTCAACACCTTTTGAGACCATTATGTTCTTCAAAATAGTTGTTGGAAGATTTTTCTACACATTTCTACACTCGAACAGCAATACATTTTTACAACCCGTTGGTTACATCATAAAGGAAACAAAATAGTGGTTCTTGTTTATCTGTGCAAAATGTACAACAATAATTATTAGCGTGATGTGACCTCAAACTTGATGACAAGTTTCACAGAAGGGGACTCAGTTATCACCATCAGATCACCAACTTGTCATTTGTTCGTTACACTTGACAAATTTGATTTGTCACGATATTTCAACCTTCTTATAGCATACAGGAAACTCAAACCAACACATTTGTCTGTGTCATCAGATGTTGGAGAGGGGTGGTTGGGTGAGCATAAAAGACCACGGTCAAAGTTTGCTAGGTTCCCCCTCCGGCTGAGATATATATCTCCTGATGATTAATCCTTTTAGATCAGACACTAACACTAATTTGCAAGGCTAAGAAATAGTCATTTCATGCTTTGCCTGTTCACTCATTGTAGTGCATTACTGTACACACACAAAAATCTAAGCAGAAAGGTCTAATAAAAGCTCTAGGAGAATGAAAGTGTTGTTTCATCTCAATCGTGTTTTAAAATTGGCTTTAGAGATGACAACTTTAAGACGAGGGACGCTCATTTTCTGGAGCAGGGTCTCCATGCATTTTTCTCTGCAAATGAAAGCTCATTATTGCCTCCCCCAAATTCTGAGTAGGGGGCATAGGTGGAGAGGGGACGTACCCCTGTTTTCCCCCTTATAAGTTTGCCAACTGCTACCCACAGTGGTTGCGCTCTGTGAAAGCACTCTATATATGGCCAGCTAATAATGAGAACAACTGAATGAGAGGGCTTACATTGCAGAGCATATCGCCTTCCGGTCATTGGCGCAGAACTCTGGCGTGCACTTGGGTCTGCAGGACACTTGCTCTAGCTGGCCTTGGTCACTGATTGCTAGAGCTGGGTCGACTAGGGCCGGGCCTGGCTGAACACGCTCCAAAGGAACTGCAGGAAAGTAACAACAAAATCACAGCTAATCAGAAAGTAGGGATATGTTGGGGGGATGGCAATGTTGCCCATGGCTGTGGCTTTTCTCCACTACTTTTAACGACTTTCAACTATTTTGGAGTCTGCAACCCTCTAAAAAAAATGGCTTTTGCTTTTGCGCCATTTCAATGCAAAAAAAAAAAGGATACGGCTATGCCTGAATTGTTGTTCGGCTGCAAATATGTCGAAATTTGTAAAGTAATTATTTCATAATTAAACGAGCGGATTTTTACTTTTGATGTTTCACTCAAAAATGACTAATGTTTGTGTCGTTTGAAGCAAAAAAGGAATTTACAACAAGCAATTTCTTTAAGGACTGTACGTCTTTAAGGACAGTACATCTTTCAGAAGAACCCTGGAATTCAGCTCGTGTCAAGATTGTTACGCTCACCGCGGGTCAGCCAATTGACGAAATACCAGCGTATTATTATTATTTGAAGATATTTTATAAATATAGCCACACAAGTCGTTTCTATCTTGAGATATCAAATGTGCATATGAGTGATTCCTTGAGTACGAGTACGTGCATATTTTTTTGTGCGAGACCCATAACCATGGCGAGTCTGCAAACATTTTGAGATTCCTGAAAAATTCAAATTTGATATTTGTTTTCATGTTCCCTGTGATTAAGTCCATAAATCCGTGAATATTACATCAGAAAAATATGCTGCCTTGTTATCAAATTATGCCACATTATTTTAAACCAAGTGGCAATCGTTTCAAGGGTTATTTGTTAATTGAAAATTCCTAACCGTTCTGTTGCCAATAATGCAATCCAAAGTATCTGATAATTCCAGCCATTAAATTTGACAGTTCCAGGCGGCACTAGGTCCATACGTGTACACCGTCGTTGACAATTTTCTTGAGAGTATGTCAAATAATGTCGTCAAATTCGTGAAAAAAACTACATACGGCAAGGTATGACAAGAATGCATACAGATCGTAAAATAAAATGAGTTTTAAAAGTTCGGTTGAGACTATGCTCAGTGGTACACCGAAATAAATTCGGCGACAGAATGTATGTGTTCCTTTATGATTCTGGCATGCAGTTGACTGATTTTATGTTGATGGTTTTGCTCAAAAATTCAAAAAATAAAATTTCAAAAAGCATTTCCACTAAAAGATGACAATATTTTTGGCTTGATGTATTGAAGGCACGTAGGAACGATAATTACCTCGAACTGAACCTACTGATTTAATGAGAAACACCTTACTCAAACTTTAAAGGCAATCAACCATTGTATTTTTGTCCTGTGATATTTTGCCTCTGATTTATCAAGAAAGAAAGTCCTGCATGAGCACTCTCTGTAGCTAGCTACGCTGCAGCACACGAACATGGAGAGGTTACTCAAAGTGAAGACAGGGACGGGAGCAGATACACTTTAAAATTACTCCACCTGAAATGGCTCCCGTTCGGAAGTAGACGATAATTGAAGCTGATTAAAAAAAGTGTGCCTGCAGGCACACCTTTTTTACGTACGTTAGCAATGGAACCCAATACGACACCCACAGAATATTGTGAATATGTTTTTGTTTTTTTGTTTCTAAAAGTGTATAGTATCCACTGAGCTGACAGTGAAACTCAGTTACACACAAAAACAAATGATCCTACATCCTAAATCTTTAAATTGTAAAGACAACACACCGCGAATCATCTGAAATTGTGAATTGAAGTTAAAATTACGGTAACAGTTACATGCAAACCTGCAGAAGCTTCTTTTCTCAAAAGCAAGAAACCCAGAAAGTGAAGTGAAGCATAAACTTCTAGCACACCGTAGCAGCCAGGACTAATATATTATTTCCTCTGCACTTCGCGGTTGAGCAGTGATATTTGTTTAACCTTTGCAAGTAACTTCATTGTATTCAGTACTATATTATCGATATTGTTGCAGCTGTTGGGATTTTTTAAAATGAAAATGAAAATATTATATGTATATATTATATATATTACAAAGGTATGCTATTTTAGCGTCTTTATGTGTCCTGGTTTAACTTGTGTGACCAACATTTTCACGTGTAGTTGTTAACAAAATACGTTACTAGTATGAAATTCCGGAAGAAAAAAATGTCGCGGTTATAAATGAATCAAAAAATAATAATAAAATGGCCTGATATTTCAGCCTTAGCAAAGTAGTTTTAATTTTTTGATTTGTATATTTCAGGTCAATCCAGTCAATGAGCAGTTTGCAGCAATTCCTTTTCGCAGTTATAAATGTTTGGATTTGTTTTTGACCGCACAATCTTTTGTCCATTTACTCCACCGCCGCTTGTGCTGTGATATAGTACTGCCGAATACAGATTCACCGAAACACCGAAATACAAAAAAAAAAAATCAAAATCTTGTATAATCATACTCTGTAATGTTAGTAATGTTGTTACTAGATTAAGGATTTGTGAAAACAATACAGAAAAAAAAGTTTTGTTCGAGGCCAACTTAAAACATTTCCGCATGACAAATGTATTTTTTCGTAATTATACAACAAAGAATTGTCGGAATAGTAAATTGTTCCTCCAGTAGGATTACAAAATGATACGAGAAGAATTAGAATGACCTTTGTTTGACAGCTATTCTAACAATGAGGTTCAATTACCCGGAACCATTGTGTGAAATGACGCGGGGATTTGCTTTCAAAGCAGAAGTCACCAGCATCTGCCAATTTGAGTTGTAAAAACAGCCATAACTCAATCAAGCGATCGCCGCAAAATACAAGTGTAAATCAATCCCCAATATACGACCGTGTAAACGTATAGGCACCGGTATTTGGTAAAAGGTGGTTTCGAGCAGTTAACACCCATATTGGCTTACAGGCCTTAATTCCTGCATCGGGCGGTGTTCCCCCGAGACGATTTTGTCACGGGACAAAAAGAACCTCGTATAACCTTGGACTTGACAACAGGAAAGAAAAAATCTCGACACGGAATGCGAAATATTCCCGTGAAGAGCTGGCAGCCGTGGAAATAATGATAATAAAAATGTCTAGGTTTTATGTCGTTCATCGAAGAGGGGAATCGAAGAGGAATGCAATCCACTATGTTGTCATGGAAACCATTTTTAATAACTTTGTGACTGATTGGTATGTCAGTCGGACTCGGGATAGTTTTATTGTTTTATTTACGATCTTTTCGGGAAAAATGATGAAAATTCTGTGTTTGCGTGGCGTCGATAAAAATTGTAGGCATCTCTCATCGGCATTTAGAAAGAAGTGAGAGCAATACTCGAAGGTTGACATTTTTCTTGCCTATCAATTGGTTCAGAAATAATTTGGTATTTTTTTTCCAGACAATGTTGGGAATCACGAGTGACCGTCACAATCCTTTTTTGGGGCCGTAACTTAACATGTTATTTTCAACCATTACGAAAGGTCACTGCTGACGACTGAAGTCGATCAGATCTGTGTCAGTTAGATTGTCTCTAATGGCTTATTAACAAAAACGTAAAAGTTGAACATACTTGGTTTGCAGATGCCCTTTCTTTGATCTCGAGGCACGTCAGTCTGCACTCCCAATATATCGTCATGAACGCACTCCAATCCCGCATCACAGCTGCCCAGGTAATTCCACTTGCCACCGCAGAGTTCATCTTCCACCTTGAGACAGCGAGGGCAGCAGCCGCATATGCCCGCCCCGATGCCTCCTTTACAGTTCAGCTTGGAGGCCTTCCTGGGGTTACAGTGGAGCTGCTCACAAGGCGGGCAGCGGAGTTGCTCCACCTCTCTCCCCTGCCTCTGTTTCTCTCGGTTGCTGCTTCCCCCGTGCCGGCGGCGATGACTTCCCCGCTCCCGCTCCTTTTGGGCCTCGTCCCGGCGCTGATCGCCGGTCTTGCCCTCGCTGTCACCCCTCCTGCTGTCCCGCTCTTGAGGCTTGTCTCGATTTCTACGGGCCTCGGTCGGAGCGATGGCTATCATGCCGACCAGCCATGTCAGAAGGCAGATGGCTGTAGTGATCCCCGCTAAATCCATGGCAACAGAGGTCGAGAGGGGTTTCAAGACAAAAAGTTCTTCCAAAATGTGCGACTCCTCGCCAAAGAGATACGGTTATCGTAACAAATTCTTAGAATGGGAGTTCAGTATCGGCTTTTCGACATAACAAGAAAATGATGAACAAAAATACGAATCGGGCAGACGGTTTAGTTGAGCAACAAATGCCTCTAGTTCTCCTGATCAAGCTGTAATTTTGCGTAGCGCAACCAACGGGCGGGTTTCAGAGTCATCCAGCCGCCAGTTTTGTCTTCAGTCTTCTTTCAGAGCCAGCTGGGTATTTTTTATGGCATGGACCGTTGGCAGCTTATCGATCCAACTTCGTTTCGTCAGAGACTACTCGTCAAAAGTTTCACTCCTTGAAACTGATGATTCCCGGAGCGCCAATGAAATGCCAGCGCGCGATCATCACCGGCCACATCAGCGGTGTGAAATCCCGAAATTAAATACTCCATGTGCTGAACGAGAGGTTCCGCATCACTGACAACCATTGCCATGCGGAGTTCACGACGGTCCTACAAAAACAGCGTGTCTGACTTGCACATACAATCTAACACTCCTCTGGGATGAAGCACGTGGTTGATTGGCCCAAGGCTGCTCAAATTTGAACTCCTTTCACACGTGACTGTATTTCAATGTACGCTTACATCTTTCTTTAAGTCACTCTTTCTTCCGCGCTGTAGTAATTTCCGGATTGCCACGGCTAAACACACAGTGAACAGACATTCCACTAAAGCATGAGACACCCAACACTAGTAGTAGTACTAAGCTAGCTTACAAGGTTCTCAAAGGACTAGATGAATGGAAGAGCCACTTTGACGTCACTCAACCCTAAACCAATCGAATGGCGCGTAAAGTCGTGGGCTGAGTTATGATTATTAGATGGATTACTATTGGACGTCTTGTAATACTGACAAGTGACCCCTGACCAATGCAGGCTCTGGAAAGTACAGTACACTCTCACACCCTCTGAGCATTTATGTCGCCGTGAAACCAACCATACGACCGACCACTAACACAGATTAAGAGATCGAGATTCATCGGCTTCAAAAATCGGGTAGTTTTTAAGTGTCCAGTATCAGTATTGGCCGGCATAAATTTCTGAAATTAGTTTCCAATTCCACAAACACTATTGAGCGCCGAAAGCGTCAAGTTACGCAAGAGACCATGGCAGTCTCAGGCTATAGCTTCAGTCTTCGCTTTCATTCATCGCCTTTGGATATATAGGGGCGGGAAGTATGATCACCTTCGCAGTATTTTGCACTCGCCAGGACGATAGAGAGAGGGCAGTCGTTGAGGGCAGTCGTCCAAATATTGGACTGACTGGATATGGACATTGCATGCACGCCGATGTTTGGTACATTACAAATTGGACTGGTGTTCAGTTTTCAAATGTATGGACACTTACTTTATGTTACTTTTTACTCCTCTTAAGTTAAGTACGCCCCTATATGAAAACTATCCCTTTTTTGTTTATTTGATTGAAAAGTGCTCTTCGTCAAACATTTAAAGTGTTTCTGGACAATTCGGGGCGCTGTTACGGGTATCATTTCAGGAAGACTCTCCTGATGATGACTAGAGCATACTAGTCGAAACGTTGAGACTAAAGACAAGTTCTTTTCGAACTTAAAGCAGGACAAGTTCTTATCAGAACAAAAAAAACTACATAGCGAAAGTTGATAATAAGCAGGACAAGTTCTTTTCAGAACTATCTTCTAAGCAGCAGTTATTACCACATGGTGTTACCGCAAACCGAAACGATATCGATACTCCACCATGCAAAGCCATAAATCAAATAGGAAGACTCTGTTCAGTTTATAGGGGTCAACCCCAAAATTGGTTCATTGAGAACATTTGTGAGAAACGTTTGCTCATTGGCTTACTGTCATGTACTGACATAACCAAGAATCGCCAAAGAAAATTACAACAGCAACAAATCCAAAATGCAGGCAGCTTTTGGTGCTAAAATAGCTGAAACATCAAGGTTTTTGACTGAAATGGCATCATTCGTTTGCTCCTGAATATGGAAATTTGCATTAGCATAAAATAAAAAAAAGGCAATAGTTTAGTGTTTGCTTTGAATCATTGCAAGACAAATAGGTTGTCGTTCTCTTTTTTTCCCACTTAAATTTAATTTATCCCAACGATACATTTGGAGAAGAAAAATAGTCGATGATAAGCTTCGGTTGATTCGAACCAGGGATCTCTCTATTCATAGCTCATAATTTGCCATAATTTTTTTTGGACAAAATAATCTCCAAAATTGGCGGGAACCGCAAAAGAACGAATATACTATAATTTAAGGAAATTGCAGCATGAAGGACACTCCGTATTTTATCGTCGTGCAACAATTTGTTACAAAAGAGGGCGCGCTACACAAACACTGCTCACCGCGCTCGGACGTCTGGCCGTTCAAGATGTACATACAGTTATTGTGAAAACAGGAACTCAGATAAACACATTGTATTGTAATGAAATTTCCTGTAATATTTTGCCATGGTATTTGACACGAAACTCAAGAAAATTGACAGGAACCGCCAAAGAATGAATGTACTTTAATTGAAAGAAATTGCAGTATGAAGGACTCTCCGTATTTTATCGTCGTGCAACAATTTCTTACAAAAGAGGTCGCGCTACACAAACACTGCTCACCGCACTCCGACGTCTGGCCATTCGAGATGCAAACACAGTTATTAAAAATTGACAGGAACCGCCAAAGAATGATTGTTATATATTGAAGGAAATTGACGTGTAAGGGTACACACCTGTGAATAGGCCTAAGCCCATCCTCCGAGCTCATGAATAAAAGTTATACCCTCAAAATATTCTATATTAGAGAGTTCTGAGAGCCGTAAAATTGGGGAATTGAAAAAAAATATGGCAATGAACCACTGGCCCAGACTTGGGACTTCCAATTCTTAGCATTTTGGTGCAATGGAGCTCGAAAGTGGCGCTGTTTTTTTCATGTTTTGGAGGGATCGTTTTTCAAGCTACTTTTCCGCTTTAAGAAAAAAAGGGGTCGTCTTCTTTGGGTGAGAATTTCTCGAAAAGTCAGTGGTCAACCCACCAAAAATTGAAAACAAAATAAAAGAGGACATATTGATCGCTATTTCTCTGTGCAGCTTAAATGTATGTGAGAGTTCTGAGTTCTGAGTATTTTTTAAAAGAATTTAGAAGTATGGGCATTGAGCACTAGTGTCTATGGGAATTTTAATACACTGTTGCGCCCGTAAGGACACTCCGTATATTTTCTCGTCATGTCAACACAGTTATTGTGAAATTGGGAACTCAAGATAAACACATTGTATTGCTATGAAATTATCTGTAATATTTTGTCATGGTATTTGACACGAAATTCTAGAAACTTGACAGGAACCGCCGAAGAATGAATGATTTAAGGAAATTGCAGTATGAAGGACACTCTCCGTCTTTTCTCGTCATGTCAACACAGTTTTTGTGAAATTGGGAACTCAAGATAAACACATTGTATTGCAATGCAATTTTCTGTAATATTTTGTCATGGCATTTGACACGAAATTCTAGAAACTTGACAGGAACAACCGGAGAATAGATGTAATATAATTTAAGGAAATTGCAGTACTGAAGGACACTCCGTATTTTATCGTCATGCAACAATTTCTTACAAAAGAGGGCGCGCTGCACAAACACTGCTCACCTCGCTCCGACGTCTGGCCATTCGAGATGTAAACACAGTTATTGAAAATTGACAGGAACCGCCAAAGATTGAACGTTATATATAACCAAACAATGACACTTGTTAATTAAGCGCGAAAAATACAAGGCGAATTTGAGTCAGCATTCATGACACGCAAGCAACACACTCGGTTTCCACAAGATAACTCTAGATGTGTATGTTGTATTGAATTGAAATTTCTTATATTAATAAAAAAATAGATAAAAAATAGATAAATAACGGAAATCTATTAAATTTAAGAGGAATCATGAATCAATAAAAAATATTATAACCAGCACAATGTAGCATGTTTAAAGTGAAAAATACACGGCAAATTTGAGTTAACCTTCATGGAACAAAAACAACACACTCGTTGTGGGGGCGATATGAGTTAAACTTAGGGAATATATTTTGTATTGAAGTAAAATTGCACCTCTAGGGGCGATCAGTCATGATAACGGTCGCCCCCAGAGGTATTACGGGTGTTTCTGTGGTCATCAGTATCTCTAAGGGCGATCTATAACAGTCGCCCGTAGAGGTATGTACCTCTAGGGGCGATCAATAACGGTCGCCCCTAGAGGATGTACCGCTGGGGGCGATCTATAACAGTCGCCCCTAGCGGGTGTACCGCTGGGGGCGATATATAACGGTCGACCTTAGAGGTTGTACCGCTGGGGGCGACCAATAACGGTCGCCTCTAGAGGCTGTACCGCTGGGGGCGACCAATAACAGTCGCCCCTAGCGGATGTACCGCTGGGGCGATATATAACGGTCGCCTGTAGAGGCTGTACCGCTGGGGGCGACCAATAACAGTCGCCCCTAGAGGATGTACCGCTGGGGGCGATAACAGTCGCCCCTAGCGGGTGTCCCGCTTGGGGCGATATATAACGGTCGACCTTAGAGGTTGTACCGCTGGGGGCGACCAATAACGGTCGCCTCTAGAGGCTGTACCGCTGGGGGCGACCAATAACAGTCGCCCCTAGGGGATGTACCGCTGGGGGCGATATATAACGGTCGACCCTAGAGGTTAATTGTACCTATAGGGGCGATCAATAACGGTCGCCTCTAGAGGCTGTACCGCTGGGGGCGACCAATAACAGTCGCCCCTAGAGGCTGTACCGCTGGAGGCGATCTACAACGGTCGCCTCTAGAGGATGTACCGCTGGGGGCGATATATAACGGTCGCCCCTAGAGGTTGTACCGCTGGGGGCGACCAATAACGGTCGCCTGTAGAGGCTGTACCGCTGGGGGCGACCAATAACAGTCGCCCCTAGAGGATGTACCGCTGGGGGCGATAACAGTCGCCCCTAGCGGGTGTACCGCTGGGGGCGATAACAGTCGCCCCTAGCGGGTGTCCCGCTTGGGGCGATATATAACGGTCGACCTTAGAGGTTGTACCGCTGGGGGCGACCAATAACGGTCGCCTCTAGAGGCTGTACCGCTGGGGGTGACCAATAACAGTCGCCCCTAGCGGATGTACCGCTGGGGGAGATATATAACGGTCGACCCTAGAGGTTAATTGTACCTATAGGGGCGATCAATAACGGTCGCCTCTAGAGGCTGTACCGCTGGGGGCGATCTATAACAGTCGCCCCTAGAGGATGTACCGCTGGGGGCGATCAATAACGGTCGCCCCCAGAGGATGTACCGCTGGGGGCGATAACAGTCGCCCCTAGTGGGTGTACCGCTGGGGGCGATATATAACGGTCGACCCTAGAGGTTAATTGTACCGCTGGGGGCGACCAAAAATGGTCGCCTCTAGAGGCTGTACCGCTGGGGGCGATCAATAACGGTCGCCCCTAGAGGATGTACCGCTGGGGGCGATCTATAACGGTCGACCCTAGAGGTTGTACCGCTGGGGGCGACCAAAAATGGTCACCTCTAGAGGTTGTACCGCTGGGGGCGACCAATAACGGTCGCCTGTAGAGGCTGTACCGCTGGGGGCGACCAATAACAGTCGCCCCTAGAGGATGTACCGCTAGGGGCGATCTATAACGGTCGACCCTAGGGGTACACACCGGTAAATCGATCCGCCAAGCTCATGAATAAAAGTTATACCCTCAAAATATTCTATATTAGAGAGTTCTGAGCGCCGTAAAATTGGGGAATTGAAGAGATATGGTAGTGAACCTCTGGCCCGGACTTGGGGCTTCCAATTCTGAGCATTTTGGATGCTATTGGGCTCGAAAGTGGCGCTATTTTGCCATGTTGTGGAGGGATCGTTTTTCAAGATGGCTACTTTTCCGCTTTGGGGAAAATAGGGGTCGTCTTCTTTGCGTGAAAATATCTCGAAAAGTCAATGGTCAACCCACCATAAATTGAAAAGAAATTGAAAGATGACACATTGATCATCATTTTTCTGTGCAGCTTGAATACCTGTGAGAGTTTTGAGTATTTTTAAAAGAATTTTGAAGTACGGGCATTTAGCACTAGTGTCTATGGGAGTTTATTTGCAGGTATGCACCCCTAGAGGTTGTACCGCTGGGGGCGACCCAAAATGGTCGCCTCTAGAGGATGTACCGCTGGGGGCGATATATTACCGTCGCCTCTAGAGGATGTACCTCTAGGGGCGATCAATAACAGTCGCTCCCGGAGGTATTATGGGTTCGATCTAGGGGCGATCTTATTGTATTAATATTTTGTAAGGTAACTTTTCTCCCTTTTTAATGCTCCTTTTCTTCTTCCTCCCCTCGCCCCAAATAAGACCCTGGCACAACGAATCCAAGAAAACAAACAGGTTATGGTTTCAGCATTTTCATTTTATTGTGACTTTCCTTTCAAAAAGAAAACAAAACCGACTGAACATCACATTGGGCAAGCAGACGCACTGAAAATAAACCGCCATCTTATTAACGATTTAAACAAATTGAAATAATGCTTGATGAGGATATTCTAAGATTTAGCACAGCACTTCCTCATGGTTATCAGTTTGTTAGTTTTTAATATACATTTACTCAAATGTGTTTTTCTTTAAAGAAATAAAACAGCCAATTTGACATCTCTTCAAATAATGTCCTTTGTCTTCCGTCTTGAAATTTCTGACTAAAAGAGCGTACATTTTAACAGTTTTAGTTGAAATTTCATCACATCTTATTATCAATGTCGTTGGTAAATAAGCCAGGCGTCCCCTGACACAGACGGCGCTATACACATTAAGTCATCACGCATCCACAGTTAATTACATGGAAAAAAAATAGTCCAGCTGTAAAAGTTTTACCCTATATCTAAAATAAATTTGGTATGGTCTAAATATAATTTAGGGATACAGCTAACTGGGAAGTCATCAGAAAATAACCACATATAAAAGGACATTTGTTACTTTTTCGTAAAACTTTTCCAATAACAGTAGCCACATAAAATAAACTTGTTTGTAATGCTATTATTATTAAAACAGAAATGGCAATTTATCATAAAGTTTTTATTTAAACGTGGGCTACTAAAGCACAAAACTCACAATATTATTAATCAGGGTGGGTAGATATGCGTATGTAGAAATACTTAAAACCCTTTGTCAATTCCAGAAAAACCATATACTCCTGTAATCAAGTCAAGCTATATAGCCTTTGGCGTTATTTACATACATAAATACAAAATGTCATAATGTTGCATTAAGCTGGCAGAATAAATATATCTATACAGTTACCATTCTTAATGACAATACATTGCAACTAACTACTAAGTATCGCAGGTCATCTCTTAGATTTTACTATAAAGCATATTATATACAGCGAGGATATTAACAGCGTTACCATTATTTAAAAAACAGAAACTAGTCCTTCTTAGAAAGGATAAAATCGTGCATACTGTTAAAATCTTGTCAAAAAAGAAAACGAAAAAAAAGGTATTTGCGAAAAGTTCATTAAATAATATCCAAAACATTTGTTTTCGGTCTTTTGAAACAAGTAGAACATTCTGGGTGCACACGGTTACAATTTCGATATAAAGAAGTAAGGAAACAATACATCAGTTATACACAATTTCAGTTTTTATTTAATTAATTTAAAAAAAGATAAAGGACTTCAATTGGCATGAAGGGATCACCATTTTTTTTCACTGCATTTCGAAATTGAATAGAATTGTGTGTGCTCTGGGACCAGCTCTACTAGGCCTTGTCTTCTTACATTGTGGTCATAATGCAAAATAAAGCGTAAAGTTAAGATTTTTTTTTAATATAACATTGCGAAAAACAAGAAGAATTCATTACTTTATCAATTTTCAGAATAATTAACTTTGTTAATGTTGTGTGCAGCAAATGCATTACTCATTACTTGCCAGTTTATAAACATATACAGCACATTAAACTTAACTACAAAATAAAAAAAATGATTATACACAGAAAAGACAAACCTTGTTAAAGTACTGTGTACAAATATGAACATAATTTTGAATTATCCCCTTTTAGAGGCCATTTGTTGTAGAGTTTTTGAAGGCACAAGACTAACCTTTTAAATACTTGGGTACATTCTCCCACGTAGCCATTGTTTGGAAGAAAAAAAAATATCCGTCCGAAAAAAAGTAAAGGTGATATACAACATTTGCTTTTACTGTAACTATCAGAAATGGACGGTTTGGGGTTAGTTTTTTTATAAATAGTATATACTGTTACGCAAACCTGTTTAAAGTTTTTGTGTTCATAGATGATGGAAACAAAACCAGAAAATGTGAAAGCTTGCACCCATTCACAGAGATGCAACAAATTGCAAACAAAATGTGGACTAACTAAATTCAGTAAATTGGAGGCAGTATTTGAAAACGATGGTCAGCCGACCATCTTTGGAAATTGATACAAAAATTCCACTTTTCTTGAAAATGACAGTACACCAGGTGCCATGATTTCACAGGATGCTTGAGACTATTATTTACTTACAGTGAAGTAAGGTACTTCAGAATAACTGAATGTGGTACTTTTTGTTGTTGTTGATATTTGCAAATGTTGTATATTAAATTTAAACATCTAAAGATATCTAAAGAAATGTAGCATCTTTAACATGACATATATCACAAGCCAAAATAGTTCCAATGCATTTGAAAAACTAGATGTCCAAGCAACTTAAACAAAATCTTTCCAGCGAGTTTAATAACTTTCAAAGTTTTAGAAAACAGAATAGACTGCATGCACAAGTACCCCCTCAATAGTTACAGAGGGAGATTTGGGGGAGACCACTAAGAGGGACTCGAATGCATTGTGGCCATGCATACTGGAATTTGCATCCTTGTGGAATCATTTCTTTGTTCTCGTGTACTAAAGTTTTGAGTTTGAAAGTGTAGTTTCAAAATGCTCCTATTTTAACCAGAAATAATTTCCTGGGCTGAAATTCGCATTTAATACCCCTTACATAAAATAATTCAAATTGCGACAGATCACCCCACCTTGGAAATTCCTACTTTTTGAGTAAAATCTATCTATCTATTTCGTGATAACCATGTGGAGACATTCATCTATAGAAATTGCCCTGTGGAGACGTATACAATCTGTTGTTCCCTAATATGCACATGTCTCCACAGGGAACCATGCATGTACCACATCATACGGCTGAGTGTCACATGTAAAGACCCTATAGGTTTGTGTACATTTGTATTAGAACTAGTCGTGCAAACTTTTCCACAGTGCGCGTGGAGTACATACACACTGACTGCAGAAAAGCCTCTTCTGTGACGTACCTAAATATAACTGGAACTGTTTCTCACAGCCAGTGATGCATTTGCGTAGTCATGCAGTCAAATACCACCGACATGTCGCGACAGTAGGAAAATCAGGAAAGCAGCCACTATGAACAAGTCTTACAGCAGGATAATCGATACGCCGTTAGGTGGCACTTATGCATTCTCTTGACTAGACTGCAGAAGTTGACTTTATCCTCACAAGTATCTGGAAAAGCAAAAACAAAGTGATTAAAAAAAATTGTAGTATATGATTCCTTGGGAATTTAATAGTTGTTATAGACCCCTTGAATCTAATGTCACAACTGAAGGCAGACCTAAGATTTTAGGCTTTGCATGGTGGAGTATCAGTACTGTTTCGGTTTACGGTAACACCATGTGGTTATAACTACTGTCGCTCAAAAAATATTTAGTTCTCATAAGAACTTGTCCTGCTTATTATCAACTTTCGCTAGGTAGTTTTTAGTTCTGATAAGAACAGTCCTGTTTAGTTCTAAAAACACTTGTCTTTGGTCTCACAGAGGAGGCAGATCATCGTTCCTCTTTTTTTGCGACCTGAGTGCAATCAAATCTCAGGTCGACCTGAGGGCAGCCTTATAGACACATGAGTAAATGCATGTAGCTAAATTATTGTCACAAAATTTAAGTAACAAAAGTTGCCCTCAGTCAGGCCCACTGCGTAAGGAACCTATTAATACAACTTGCAAAAGCCATTTGTTCAAAGTTTGTGAATGTCTGGTCTCAACTTGTCAAAACTGCCAGTAATGTTGACAACCTTTGTATGTTGGTTCTAAAATGTTGACTTGACTAGACTAACCATCAAAGACTAGTATGCTTTCAATGAGAATTAGCCAAACAAATCTTGACTGAACTTGATAGAAGTTGACAAAATGGACAGGGGGGGGGGGGGGGGGGTGGGGCAGTTTACTGGCATGATATTACTTGATACATGCAGTCTTTCTTGACATCATGCCTGCGATTTGTTTTTCAAGGCCGGGGAGGGGGGCGAAGGAACTATTACTGAATTATTACCTTCTAGGCATTCTGGTAAATGGTTACATCTCTGTGTGATGGCGGGTTGTTTGAGACTGGCGCATGCCATAGTGTTTGTCGTCTCTCCATTCCCAGCGTACGTACACTGTATGGTTCTTGTCTGTATGCCTTGTGTGCCACAGGTTGCTGAACACTGGTACCATTGTTGAAAAATACACAGAAAGTAGATTAAACAATTAGCAACTGTTTTAAATTGTATTACATTGTGCTTATTCATTGATGAATGGAGGTACAGGCAGTAACAGGCAGGGCGGTTTGGGGCAGGGGGGGTTTGGGACAGGGCAGTTTGTGACAGGGCAGTTTGGGGCAGGGCGGTTTGGGACAGGGCGGTTTGGGACAGGGCGGTTTGGGGCAGGGCGGTTTGGGACAAGGCAGTTTGGGACTGGGCGGTTTGGGGCAGGGCGGTTTGGGACAGGGTGGTTTAGGACAGGGCGGTTATAGGGGCAGTACAGTGACTATAGGGTTAAAGCCACTTTGCATTTCCCAATATTTATGAATGTATAGTTTTAATGAGTAATTGGTATTACTTTCATTCAGTGTTGTAGCCCTCAAGTCCAGGAGTCGGACTCCAGTTCGTCTCAAGAAACAATATTGGTGACTCAGACTTGACTTGAGTTACATTGGCAAAAGTCTCGAACTTGGACTCAAGACTCGACCATCATGACTCAGGTTTGACGCTAGTGACTAGTGTCTCCCAGAGTTATGCCACTGGGATCAACAAAGGACTACGTGTAAGTAATAACGTCAACTCACAGAGCTCCATCCTGACGTCCTCCAGACTGGACTGCACTGGATATGCTGGCACGGCTGATGCGGTGCTGGTTTTGTGGTTGCGTCATCACACTGGCTGTCTGGTAAAGGTTCCTGTCTGCTGCCCTCACAAGAAACCTCTCGGACCTGACTTCCGATAAAGGCGCTGGTGCATTGTGGAGCACACTGGTGGGTTATGACAGACAAACGAGAATACAGAAAATCACACATGTTGTTCATAATAGAGTCCCTAAACATGACAACTTCACATAGCTGCCAACATTTCAAAATCCCAATTAGTAATCAACCGCGCGGTCATTTTCAACTGCTCGTTTTATCAAAAGCTTTACCAACATCGAGTACAGGTACATGGCTTACATGTACACATTCATGTGCATACCTTTCTTCTTGTGAATAATAATGTAATGTAGGCCAAAAGATAATTAAAAAAAAAAAAAAATTAAATTGTTTTTTTTTTTTTTTTTAATTATTTTTTTTTTAATGTCTGTATTTGTTTGTTGGAGTCAAATAAATAATAACAATAATAAAATATGCGCATATTTTTTTGGAGATGCATGCTATCGATGTGGAGTTTCGAGTTCGTATCAATGTTTTTACACACAATGATTTAGGGCCACCGTCATGACCGTATGCAATAGAAATATCCCGCCAACATACCTTGCAAACGCATGCTGATTTATCTTTTCTGGACGTTGTGACAAACTCAAACTGTAATACCAATTTTTCCAACCATACTCTTATTAAATTCCATGATTAAATTGTCGCACTGATGGGTCTCAACCCGGCAAAAAGCGACCAAATGTGCTCACGATCGTCACTGAAAAGTACTCACATACAGTACACACAACCACACATCCACGAGATGCACACAAATGACACACCATTGAAAAATAGTTTTAGTCTGGTCCTCAAGTACTCCACTGCGCACACTGCATTGATGTCTATCAGGTGCTTGACTGCATTCTTATTAGACTTGTCACCAGTCCATCCATTATCGCGACATTTCGCCAGAAGTTTTCGGTCAAAAACGATAATTTACAAGTATTTTTTTTTCCATTAGGTAGAAAATGGGAAATTCGTAATGTTTTAGTGGCAAATCGTATTTTCGTAATTTAACAAACAATTCGTAATTATTACGAAAAATTAGTAACAGTTGGCAGCTATGACTTCAACATGTTTCCTGACTATATCCTCAATTAGTGTTTCTCAAACTTTTTTTACAAGCTCCAAAACCATGTAGAACAATCCTAGTACCCAGAAATTTAATTAATCGATCCATTGAGCCACGCCCCATGATGTTTTGGCCAATCACAGTTACCAATGGTTGACTGCTGTGATGTGGGATATGCCATTTTTAATACCAGAGGGGCACACAGCACCCAAGAGAAGTCAAGGGTGCCATGCTCCCCAAGGGGTTAAAAACAGCATATCCCACATCGCAGCAGTCAACAGTTGTTTTCTTATATCGTACCAGAAAGTCAAAACGATAAATGGTTGTTACTATCCGAGAAATATATTATATCAGTTCGGTGTAACCTTTGATAAGTTCAGGCTTTCCTAGGCCTGCAGGACTTGAGACATTCATGCAGTTCTCAGGTGCGAGGGCAGGTTCTACAAATGCACGGGCATTGTATACGAGTCACCTGTTATATATGTATTTTTAAGGACTAGACACGTGGCCATTCTCGACCAATTAAAGTACAGTATCGAAGCACACGATTGTGCGTAACCCCTGACAAAAGTTAGACATGTGCACACCTGTGCATCTGGAAAGTGTTGTTGCCCGTGTGTGCAGTGGGTGGGGACTAATGTTTTGGTTGACTGGAGCTCCCCCATCCTCTCCCCTTCACCCAGCCATCCCCTCCCCTTCCCCCTCCACCGAAGCACCCAAACTCATCCCACTCTCCCATCCCAATGCTCGGGCCTGTGTTATCTCTAGTTCAAGTTCAAATCTGAAGTTTCCTGTGCCTACCTCTTGCCACGCCCCCGTTACCCAGTGTGGCTGGCAGCCATGGGTGTTGCACGCCCTGATTGGTTCTGGCGAGCCCAGCCCCTGGGCTCGGCACACCCGGCCAGAATTGGGCCTGGATCGGCCCAGTATGGAGGTCCGCTGACAAACCACGGACCGGGTCTGCTGGCCCCCTCCACATGTGGCAGAGCACGCTGTCCAGTTGCCAATGATCCACCTTTGAATAAACACCCAAAAAAAAAAATTGCTCAAAATCGCATTAACCCCTGTGAAAAATTCAGCTCAGTGGATACTTTGCATTTTCAGAAAACAGGGAAAAGGACGCACAATTGTTGGGGTCTTGTACCTGGATTCCTTTGCTAACATCAAAAAGTGTGTCCAATTTGAAACCACCTGCATTTTTTTAGTTTTCTTCCAAATGATACCATTTCAGGTGGAATATTTTCACAGGGTATTTGACACCAGTCCTATCTTCTCTTTAAGTAAGGTTTTTGTCATTACATTGGTGGGTGCTTTTTCGGGGCAACTACAAATGTACCTACTTGGCTTTAAATTTATGTCAGGCTTGGAAATGGCCCGGACTACGACACCGACTGAATGCACTCGCAATGCTGAGGTTCTTACCTAACTCCAAACAGTGATGGTCCACTCCTTAGTTCCTCCATATCTATTCATATGGGGGAAAAATCACATAAATCATCTCAATGTTTTGTAAAACTACATACACCCTCAATGGTGAAAATGCAAACAAGACTGTCATTGAGACTTTAAAGGTTTGCATGGTGGAAATGAACAAAGAAAGGAATGTTTGCGGTAACACCATATGAAGAATATCTCTTTTGAGTTGTGTGGTTCTGAGAAGAACCAGTTGTTTTAACTCAACGTTTCAAACAGTGTGCTCTGTTCGTCATCAGAAAACTGTGACTAAAACTAAAGGGATGTGCTACCCATAAGGTCATGTTTGCTATGCATCCACACTCCTTTGCACTTATTTTTCATGCAAAGAGGCTACTGAAGGGGTTTCTGCACATTCTCTTGCAAAAAGTGAAAAATCCAGAGTTCAAGCTATAGCCAGAAACTTGCATCTCTGGCCACATATAAATAAATCATTGTGCAAATGCGTCCACACTACACTGCCTCTGATAAGTAAGTCAAAAAGTGAACTTTACTATTTTATTATTTTAGCAATAGCTTCTTATTGTAGAACCTCAAAGTAAAATGTGACCATCTGGTTTCCCTGTGATCATCAATCATTGCAGTAGGCAAGAGTTTGGTTTAAGCAACCACATTGTGTGTTGTAAACTACTGGGCTTTGATTCGTTTCAAGTAAATTGATGGTGAATTTTTTATCAAACGGCAAAATGATCACTACCTGTGTGCCATGTATAGTTGTCATAATCGTGCCGACCCAGCACTGGGTGTTGGCTCTGCATTTTTCTCACAGTTACTGCCATCCATCACCGCTTTGAAAGCTTGCCTACTACTAGCTACAGCATGGTGTTGCCTACTACAAAGGTGACATTGACTCTCCGGTACCCGGATGTAGGCTAGGTTGTGAGAGAGCCCTAGAAGGCATGACGAAAGCCAAGTTGTGTACGGCAGCCGTGTTCCAGCAGTCTGTGCTTCAGATTCCTTACCTCTAATATGAAGCGTAAACCTCTCCTTAGCTGTTCCAGCAATGCAGCTATACACCCCCTGGTCTTCCTCCGTGACCCATCTTATCCGTAGCGTTCCCTCGGGCAGGACCTTTGCCCTGGCGTCGTTGGTCGTGATCTCCCGCGGGCCGCGTCGCCAAATGATCGCAGACTTCTTGAAGTGTTTGACTGGACACTTGACGGTGACGGTCACTCCCCGGTTGACGTGAGCCGTCATGCCCACGGTGAGACGAAGCTTGCTCTTGAAGCCCACCTGGTGGTAGGTGGTGTGGTTGGCTAATATCTCAGGCTCTGTGGTATAACAAACAAAATATGGAATTGATATATTACACATAATTAGAAGACACATATGTGTATATAATTTTGACCACAATCCAAAGTTAATGAAATAAACACTTGCTTCAAACTTTATAGTTGCTCTACATGTGCTCTTCAAAAAATTCTTGATACCAATTCCGATTTGAATGTTTAAATCGATAAACACTGCTTTTTTTCTAATTTGGAAATTTTAAACCCTCTGAAAAGATGCTTTTAATTGGGGTTGCTTGTGTGCTCACAACACACAGAAGTTACGTATGAATTATTGTTCGGCCGCAAATAATTTGAAATATGTAAAATAAGTATTCTATATAAACTAGATGTAGTCAGACTTTTTTTGTTACGTGTCTCATTTAGAAATTGAAAATTTTAGAACTTGTATTTGCTACAAAAACAGAAATTTAAAAACCATATCTATTGTTTGGGATAAAACTTGTACAAAGAACATGGGAAGAGAAACTTTAAGAATGGGTGCAACAGCACTTGAAACAAGGTAGCCGGTTCATTATAGAAGCCTGTACGCATGTACACATGATACAATGTTCATGTGCATGTTTTGCGCCATTAATAGTAAATACGCCGAAAAATGTTGATTCAACTATAATTTACTGAAAGTATTTTATTCACAACTATAAAAACATCTTTTGTTGAGCACAAAATATTGGGGGGGGGGGGGGGGGTTTCCGAAGATCTTATGGCCCATTACCCATAGGTAAAAGTTGGGTGGGGATATAGACGCATCCTCCCCATCCCACAACCCCAACCCCAGGAGAAGTTGTACCTGTGCACGGGCTGAGTAGGCAGAACTCTGTATGCACTGGCTGACTGGCCTCAGGGCAGAGTCTGAAATCAACCAATGAGGTCGTGCCGTCCGGCTCATGTCGTATGCATGTTATGGGCCGCACCTTAATACCAGTACCGCATGTGACTGAACACTAACATACAAAAAAAAATAACACTCATAAAAATTACTTCAGGATGTTTTTAGCAATCTCCATTGTCATGACAGTCAGGGTTTGTCTGGAGTTTGCCAGGGCCAACTGCTAGTACAGCATTTCACCTTGAAAAACGTATTACCACAAGATCCTTTTTTTATTTTTAAATTTTTTTTAAGGGCACTCAAGGTGCGGGCCACAAAGGAAAGTAGAGAGGAAAAAAGTCACAGAGAGAGAATATATGCATTCACATTTCTTTTGAACAGTGACAGATTATATGTTGGTGGAAACAGGATACAGGTAAGGAGTTCCAAAGTGCAGTAGTATGAGGAAAAAAGCTAGAAGAATATCTCACAGTACTGGCCTTTGGAACAGATACAGTTAAGGGATGAGAGGCGATTGCAAAACGTGTGCTGCGAGTGAAGTGAAGGTGCGAACAGAAGGGACAAATGAGAGACCTTCTAGGCACATACCATGATAGTATCTATAGAACAGGCTAGAGAAGATATTGATATTGACATTGGTATTGCAACACCCAAATAGATCTTACTTCCACACTTGTATCTGTTTCTTTCATTTTAAGATAAAAAAAACCAATTTGATTAGTCTTGGCCCAAGAATGGATTTTGATTTTATTTTCCTAATCCAGCCACTCGTTGTAAGTGTGGTAAATCCACGGTGGCGGTAGAGGTCCCTTTCAACACGATGAATCAAATCCAGTCTTGGGACTTTGGTAGGGCTACCCAGGAAAATCTTTATAGCAAACATCATGCAGGTGCTGAATTCAAGTTACTGCACGCTCGTAAAGCATACATGTAATTTTCTGGGTAGCGCTGCCGAATTTCTTAAGACTGGACTTGATTCTTATAGTGACCTTTCATTTGGTAATCTCTAAAGATTTATGTGACTCAAACCCACCTCAGACCATTCCTGTGGTCTCCACTCATGCATCAGTTCACAGGGCCCTTCGTTGCACATCTCCGTGTTGGGTGGCGCAGTCAGTGGACACTGGTGCCAGTCTACTACGGACTCCACGCCTGTCTTCAGCCTCTTCTTGCAGGTCACATGTCGCGACCTGATACCCCCGTTGCAGGACTTAGAGCACTGTTTCCAAGCAACAAGAGATGGTAATAAGTGAATAAATATGTGCTTGGCCAGTTTCAAACAAGTACATTTAAAACTGGCTAGGGCATGGACGCAAATAACGGCCAGAATCTCATTCATAAATACCTTTCAGTCAAAAAGTCAAAAACAAGTCAAAACTTAAAAACTTTCCAATGGTTTATTCAACAATTTTCCTTCAGGCTTTGTGAAACACCTCTCTGCATGGCCATGTCTGTGGTATGTGCCTTGCTCGCATAGTTCTAAAAACCTCCTTATATGGAAATTGACATGTGCACTGCATGCACCGCGCGATGATGTGGCGCAGACTGCAGCAGTGTTTTACCAGCAGTATAAACCATCCACGTGATGGGTTCTCGACCAAAAAGAAGACTGTCTCATCAGGTATTTATGAATGATGAGTCATAAAAAGAGTATAGTGTCCAAAATATCAAGAAATAAAATTGGCAAACTTGCATTCCGTTGCACCATGTGACAAGAAAATCTTGATGAACTTTGTGTGGTTTTCAAAAGAACTGAGGGACTCTAGCTAAGTTTCCAAGCCAGTAATGCTCTGCCTGATGTAAGGCAACTCTTGATTAAGGCAACTCTTGATTGAGGCAATGCATGTCTGCAAAGCTTACCTCTGACCAGGTGCCAGTCTGCCAGTATGCTGGGCAGTCTACCTGTCCGCAGGGCACAGGCCCACTAGGCACTGGGATGTGATCGCATTGTGAGTCCGGTAAGACTACAGTATTGCCCACTCCCCTGGCTAGGGTTTGCATGCATAAGACTTCAAGAGGATACTGGCTACCACCACCGCATGATGCTGAGCACTCCTTGTACAAGGGCACCTCCCAACTGTTAGATGTAAAATAAAAAAAGTAAAAAAAAAATAAAAATAAAACCTGCAGCCAATTTTAAGAAACTTTATGCAATGGCATGATTCTCCTTGCAACACAATTTATTGCATAAGTTCCGCAACATTTCAGTTATGACACATTTCATGAAACTTTCATAGTGCGTAAGTCCGCAACTTGCACAACAAATTATGGTGTAACCTGCGCAATCATTTCAGGTGGCATAAGTTGTGTCATAACAACTGAAAAAGAACAATTTACTGGCAAATCATGATTGTCATGGAGCCTGTCATTGCACAACTTATCGAGATTGATACCAGACACTCATAGCTTTGTGTTTGAGGCAATCAAGTGAATCGTTATTGTACTCCTGACGGAATGTTTAGAGTTGCCATTTACACCCAAAGAAAGTCGGGCAAACATATTTTCAAAATGGCAGGTGGAGGTGATTCATTCGTGACCGAACAAACAGTCATCGAAAATTCTGTTATTATCCTGCCTCGTCCAAGATGTCTAGATTATTTCAAACATTACGCAGCTATGGCAAGTTTCGTGAAATCGATTGTTAGTTTATTGCGCAGCTACGCAATCAATTTGTTGCGAAGTCCTATACATGGTGTAAGTTACGCACTGTTTTGTGAAATTGACTTCAAGTATAACAGCTTGCACTTGAGTCGTCTTGGGTTTTTTTTGGGGGGGGGGCAGGGTAATAATTCAGAGTCTATTTCATCTTTTAGTTTCCTTAGCAGCAAGAAGCCAGAAACTGAAATGCCAATGATGACTAGCATCTTCAAAGTTTTCACAACACATGAAAAACGACGATTTTTGATGATAGATAGAACCATTTGCAACTTGTCCTTTTTTTTTCATTTGAAGCAATACAGAGACAATCGATGCACAAACTTTTAGTCTCGTAAAATGATTTGGTGCTAGCCCTCCCAATTCAAAGAGGATTTTCATGCTCTGTGAGAAGGACTGTTACTACGAACTTGGGTCTTGAAGCAGTAGACTTACTCTGGGGGGCATGGCTGTTCGTTGCAGACCTTGGAGAATATATCGGGTCTGGATGTGATGTCACACAGAGTATCACTCACGGGTGTCTCTCCATCAATGTGGACACACTGGATCAGGGATTCCTGCACGCCTGTCCAACACAAACAGTCATAGCGTCAGAAAATTCATGTATTTGCCAAATGGAAAAATGGACATTAAATGGAAATGATGAATGATGATGAAATACAGAATAACATTGAAATTTGATCTCCTTGAACTGAACCAGTATACCATGTAACAGTCAACATTTGTCAACATTTCACTTTGCTATGTAACAGAGTTCGAGTCATACCAGACTTGTAGTTGAGTTCACAAGCCAATCACTAGTCACTCAATCTCTGGTCAAGTCATATGCTATTCGAATGAATTGTAACACGCTTTTTGTTATAATACAAAGAAGGTAGCACTTTATAAACTAAACTTAAAATTATAGCATTATAAGCTTTCGTAGCTCCAGCTAATTTTTGTAAACATTGTAAATAACCTGATGAACAAGTAGATATCTCTTCCTAACTGTTTACAGTTAATTGACAGCAAGTTATGTTAACAGGAAGGTGTTAATCCTGCTAAATCCTATGGGGGGGGGGGGCTTCCAAATCCTCTTATGACAACTTGTAAGATAAGCAACGATCAACTTAACAGTCAACAATCAAAAAGTGTGGTGGAGCTAGATGTAAACAACCAGGGTTTTAAAAATTTTCTCTGTATTGAAGTGTAGGGAATTTTGTAGATTTTCCGTGACCATTTGAAATATGTCTAGCATTTTAACCTCCACACAAAAACATACATTTAACATTGATTGAGAAATATATAACTGTGAACACAACTACAAAAAGTTATAAACCTCCAATGCACGAGGCACTGCACTCTGTGAACCCCATGTAGCGCCACACAAACTGCACCGTCAACGGTCCCCCGCCAAACCCATTGGCAGGGACTGTGTTGTCCTCAAACTGGTCCTCGGGCAAGCAATCGAGTCTCTCGCACTCGGCGACGGCATCGGGCTTGGGGTCGTGGGTGCATTCTGCTTCTGGCAAGTCGTGCAGCATTTGGTTGGACGGGAGGTAGACTTTGCAGCGTACTGACCGCGACATGGTGCCCCATCCGCAGGTTACGCTACACGGACCCCAGTCGCTGGCATGGTAACTGAGAATGTTGGAAATTGACGAGAATTAAGCCGTGTTCGCATTCGACAACTTTTTTAGTGAGATTTCACTGTGATGATGGTAAAATCTTACTTTTGTCCGCACTTGGACTTTTGACTCTGGAAACATTTTATGACCACAAGACACGTTGTAACTTGCGACGTGTTTTAAACCGTTGCCATGGAACTTACGATATTTTCAACACATCATAAATTTCGTGAAATGGATCATACAACGGGTCGCGAGTTGCGACGTGTTACATGTCATCGCAACTCGGTTGCGACGTGTCGCAGTGCTTCGTGAAATATGGTGCTGGCTATACAGCTATAACAAATATCTCAAGCTTTGTCTGCTTTATAATCCTTACCTGGGGATTGAAGATCTTTCAAATGGCTGGTTAAGATTCTCGTGGGGTATTATTATTTGTGGTGATGAGGTTTCTGGAAACAGAATATGGAAAATAAAGGGACTTTTTATAAATTTGTCCAATATAGAGTGATCCATGTCCTGCCGTATGGTGTTTTGACCAATCACAGCTGCGATAACTGTCCAACATGTGCAGATGCACATGACGTACATGATTGGAATGTACAGTGTGGCATTGACGTATAGTGATACCCATGTTTTCAGTGAGAAAGGCGATAATTGATTGGTCTATTGTAAATCAGCAAGAAACGTTTTTATTGATTGAAATTTTAAACAGGGAAAGGATAAATGCAAGAGAATTTGAAGATGGAACAGCAAGAGTTGTTCAAGCAGAAGGCAATCCATGGTTGATTTTACATTCTTGAAACTAACGTCATACAGACCAAAATAAAAGTCCTCATTTCAGAACAAACAAAATGCCATTATGGATAAGAACATCCTGATTTCAAAACCAAATTCCATTAAGGAATACGAAGCAATGACATTAAATTCTACTGTGATGTCATGTTTTAATGAGAATTTGTGCCACAAGATTGTATTAAGATGATAATATTCCTAGAAAAAACTGCAACTTACTATAACCTTTACCTGGTCCCCTAACACAGGGCACACCAACTATACAAGTTTTGGTCAGGGATGGTTGTTTTTGGTGATCACACCCACTAGACGCTTGGTGTCTGCTGTCTAGACACGATACACCCCTCTGTTTACTGCCTTGCCCGCAGGTCACTGAACACTGCAAATAAAACAGGCTCACATTACTTTTTACCAACTTTTGAAAACAAGTTAAGTCAAATTTCTTGTAAGATTGCAGGCATTATTGTGATTGGTACATGAGGGCTTTTTGGTCATGTGCCTACATAAGCATTGTTTGTTATTAGAGACCATTCAAAATGGTGCCGTTATGGGATACATATGCATCTAGGAAAAACTAGCTTTTTATATCAGCATTTGTGTGGTTATTTCACCAATCCCACATAAATACATGTAAACATTATAATCTGATATGCTGTTGTAGATTGTGTGCCAGATGTTATAACCATGCAAAATGGTGATTGAACAAGCAACTTTTTTTGAGTCTTATACGTAACCTGTTTGGGTACCATTTCTAATGGTCCCTACTTTGGTTCTTGAGTCTGGAATGCTGTATGGTAACCTAGCAACCGATGAAAACTGGTGTGCAAATGAATAGATGTTTTCATCGGATAACGTCACTCTGCCCCGATCTATATTTCCCTAAGAAATTTTCAAACTTCCATGAGAAATATTTCCACTTTAACAAGGTTGCTGGTAAGTCAAGAGGTGGCGTAGAACAGCCAATTGTTATTGTCTACAGGTGTTTTACCAGTTCGGATGATGTGTACACATGCAAAGGTTTTGCTGTATTCTGAATGGATGAGGGACAAACACGCAGGGAGCGAGGCTGAAAATATGTGTCTGGGACCTGCTCGCAGCGAGCGAGGCCGAAAATATCAGGGTGTGCTACCCGCAGATGATAGCATAAACCCGTTTGGGATCGAGGTTTGTGAAAAATAGTCCTGCACCTGGGTCCGGCCACTGTCAAATTAATCCCAGCGTGGACTGGTTAACTTTCACACGGCATGATTAATACTAAAAAGCCTCTATATATATAGTGAGTCAGTCGATGGAGACAACTTGGATACATGGCACAAGACGCACATATGCCAAACTGACAATAAGCTGTCCCTTCTGTATTGGTTACTATCAAATTCCCTGAGTTTTGTCGATCTTTTGTGGTGTTTCTCCTAAATTCCCTGGGCTACTGTCAAATTCCCTGTGGTTTTCTGGATCTTTTGTGGGGTTTTTCCTAAATTCCCTGCATTTGCCCTGACTGGAAAATGTAAAACTCATTTCCAAGGTTTCCCTTGATTTCCAAAGTGGCTGGGAACACTGCATATACAAACCTCAGACCAGTTGCCAGTCATCCAATGTGGGCACGGCTCTAGGTTGCAGTTTTGCTGGCTGTGCGGCTTCGCACCAGAGCACATATCTTTGTCTACCCTCATCAGCATGTTGTTTGGTGCCCTCTCCACGCAGTAGACATTTCTGGTTTGGATACCTCCACTGCAGGACCGTGAGCAGGGCTGCCAGGGATCCGGCTGCCACCTTCCAATAGAATGGTTATGACAATGGTATCAGATTTTCACATTAATTTCATTGGTTGGGGACAATTCATGTGAACTACTTCAGTAGTTTATGTATGATGACTGGATGGACTCTTCACCTTCATCACCTCGTTTGCGCCAAGTAAAAATCACCTAGAAGTTACTCAAAGACTTTTGAATATTTTCAACACTGTTTTGAACAGTTTTTGTTTTTTGAACAGTGGGATGTATGTGTGGCCTTGTGGCTAGGGTTTGTGACTTATGATAAGAGGGTCATGAGTTCGAATCCATCTGTCTGTCCTTGGCCAGTCTGTCCTTGGGCAAGCCACTTCATCCCCACTTGCCTCTCGCCACCCAGGAGCATAAATGGGTACTGGCATTAGCTGGGGAGTAGCCTGCGGTCTACTAGCTTCCCAACCAGGGGGAATAGAAATATTCTCAGTCGTTTCATGCTACTGATGGGTCGCATTAGCTCGTTACAGACTTACTCTGTTTTGAAAAGCTAGACTAAACCCTACACTTAACCAGTTTGCGACGGATGACGTGTTAACATGATATGGCTGTTTATACACAGGCACGGCTGACAGGTTAAAATGTCAAGCATACCTTTGGCTTGCTTCCGGATGATGTCTAAACAGGGTAATCCCCTATTTGTTTTGGAGTTTTGAAAAATAGGAGGTTGCGGTTTTAAAGAAATATCATACAAATACTGTTGAAATTACTCTTGCAAATCAGTATTTTTGGCAGTGGCTGTATATCAGAAGTTTGCTGCTATATCTTGCCTTTTCCAAAGTGCCCCCAATCCTGCTGAACTACTAGGGTGCCCTTCCCCTTTCAAGCCATCCAGAAACCAATCCTTTTCCAAACACACAGACATGACTTACTTTGGCGGGCATATCTGCCTATTGCAGGGTCTTCTCTCGACCTGGGGTCTGGCCTGATCACAACTACTGTCTGGTTCCCGCTGACCCGTGGACAAATTGATGCAAACGTAGACTCTCTGTTGCTCCCCTGAAGAGAAAAAAAATCATGCTCATTCAAAATGGAAAGGTTGGATACTGGAGGCTGAAATGCATTGAACAGCTCAGAAAATTTGAGCTCTACATAGCATCTTCATTTTCTATTATCTCATCTTTTCAAATAACTTACAATAACTTGTGGACAGCCATGTTCCAATGGTTACTGTGTTCGACCCATGTGCCAGGGTACGTGGGTTCGAACCCTAACATTTAGCATGGTGTTTGTGTTCTTGGGGAAGACACTTAATTACGACAGCCATTCTCCAGCTAGGAGTACCGTAAATGGGTACCAGATTGTGCTGATTCCGAGCTGCTGCAGAAAAAGTCATGGTATCCTAGTCTTATGAATGGTGGTAACAATTGTGAAGTGCTTTGAGGCCTTTGGTTAAAAGCAATACAAAAGCACCACATTACATTTGCAGTAGCCAGGCTATGCCTCTGCCAAATTTAAAGGCAATTGGGTTTGTACAAATGCCCGAAGTTCCAGTCAGAAAAAAAAAGTGTACAAATGCTATGGACAAACGGTCTGAAAAAGAAAAAAGAATGAGAAGGAACAGAAAATCTTTTGCAAACAAAGGCTCTTTCGACAATTGCCGAAACAGACACAAAATAAACAGAAATGAAACAAACTGATTAAACAGAACAATAAAAACATGAAACAAAAGGCAGCAAAGGCAGAAAAATGACAAGATGCCTCATGGGGCTTAACTTTGAGGCACATGAGCCCATGCTGCTACAAATTTGCCCTCATTTGGCTCCCTGAAAGACACACACCACCCTCTACAGTTTGTGCACATGTGCCATGATATACAACAATACAGGATAGCTGACAACTTCCATCTTTTTTACATGTCAATTTTCCCTGTCTTTTTCTTTTCTTAAAAAAAAGGAACAAGTTCCCCCTTCTTTTATTGCAACAGGTACAACTCTGTAGGCCTACAGAACTTTGGTTAATTCAACTCGACAGTGCAATCTTCTGAGGCACCAGGGGTGCACAAACTGCCAAAACACTGGTCACACAGGCACACCCCCCCCCCATACATCAATACGTACATTTGCAAGCTTGGCTAAAGACCTCCTGGTCTGCTGTGGAAATGTATTTTCACATGAATTTCGCAGTGTAGAATTACAGAACCACGTTATGAAGAATAGATCGGTTGCATTCAGCTGCAGCCATCTTTGAAGTGTGTTTTGTTTAAATTTGTTATTTCATCAAATATGAATGCACAAGAGGTCTACTCATTCGTATCCCTGTTGAACAAAAGCCAAACCAAGAACAATGGCTGCAGTGCAATCAAGTCTATCATGCACATCTTTGCTCCAAATATCAGCGTTTTCCTTCAAGCATAAAAAGGCAATGTCCCCAGGTGTTACGCACTTGTCTATTTGTGAACTTGCGGTGCATGCCCAAGCTTGTATTGAAAACACTTCTCCAGCAATGAATATATCACACAGTGAATTCAATGAAGGAAAGTAATGAAGAAAATACAAAAGCTAATAAATTATTCATGAAATGAAAAGCACTTTTCAGCAGGCTACTTACTGCATAATTTTTTCTCTCTTAAATGAGCACAGAATATAAGTCTTTTTTGAATGACTAGTGTGGTGTGTACCCAATTTTTCTTAAAATATCTCCAAATGTAAAACTTGCCAAAACTCACCACAATGAGGAGTCATACTCATAGTGAACTCTGCAGCTAATAAAGTGATATTTTATTTTTGGCTTTAACTGAGAATTCTTCTTCCTTTCCATTTCAAAAACAAAAAACAAAAGTCAGGTCCTTTTCAAGATTAAACTACCGTGACATGTTTTCAGCCTCCCAACAGGGTGTCCAGGGGTTATTTTAACAAGATAGGAGCCAGGGCTTCACCTGGGCAACCAGTCAAGTTTGGGTTACGAACTGTCCCTGGCATGTGGTGCTTCAACACTGATTGGTCGATGAGCCAGACACTACGATATGTCTGAATTCTCACCACGAGGATGAACCGCATTTGGATTGTTCCTATGCAACATCAGGTCAACCATGGGTCACTTGGAATTCATCATTGTGCAGCACATACCATATAAAGCAATTTGAAAGTTATAGATGGGAGTTTTGTGCAGACTTAAAATGTTTTTTTTTCTCTTAAAGAAGGGGGGGGGGGACTTAAATAATTGTAATAATGACTTTTGTACAGTCCTGAAATATATACTCACAAAATTGAAATGGAAAAAAAATAGCATTTTTTTAACCAAAAAAAAGAGGCAAAATCTAAGATTGAACTCCACTGATGTGAGCAAACGAAAAACGAGCAGAATACAATGCATGCTGGTGGTTACTGACATCCATCAGTTCATTAAGACAAACAGCTGTTATAATTGTATTGAAAATATGGCAAACACATCTGAACTGAACTGTCACTTATGAATACGTGCTGGATTAAAACGAAACACCAGCTGACAGACAACACTATTGAGAACTAAGTAAACTAAAGGATGGCAGGTACTTTAGGTTGTACTGTGCATGCTATTGTCCAGTTTTACCAATAACATTTGTTTTAAAATGGCTAGTTTTCTAGCACTACAAAAGTTATGCACTTTAAAATAACAAACAAAAAACATCGGCATGAACCTAAATGACAGCAAGCCAGATGGATTTATTTCATGTGATGTTTAATACTGTCTTTAATCTATAAAGATTTGTAATAATAATAATTCGGTAGGTTACTTTTAATGATCATATGTGCCTTTAAGGAAGACAACCAAACTCCTTTAAGTTACCCAGTGACCTACCACTTACACAGTCAATTTACAACTGTGGCTACAACAGTTCACAATACTACACTTGTCATTGACTTACTAAAGGGAACTCGCATCCACTGCGGCAGTGACAGGCGATGCTCCATCATGGATGAACATGAACCGACCAGGAACGTGGACAAAACTAACCAGACGATGCAGGCAAACTGCCCAGGGTGAGCCCGACTTGCTCCGACATCCTCCATGATTTATCTCCAGTGTTACACCCCAGTTGCACCACAACACAATGTCTGACGTGTACACGATTCAAAGTTCCCACAGTCTGTACCTAGCTGAATAGGTTCACAGTGCGCTGCCTTAATGCAAACAAATTCAAGTTCAGCCCCCAAGCACTTTGAGTGAGGAGGGATTATGTTTTTTACTTTGGTAAACAACCAGCTCCAGGAATATGATAATCAGATTTTTCGCAGTCTCTCTTAAAACACTCGAGATAGGAATGATGAGAGGACATCAGTGTAGTGCTTGACCCAATATCCAATTAGATTACTGTTTGGGAGTAGGACATTTGACCAACCAGCATTAGTCTACCAGCAGTGAAGTTCAGACAGCCAATCGGGAGCTCTGTTGGAGGCCTGGACCAGTCCACTCTTTAACTTAGGGGAGAATAAATAGGCCAACAGCATTAAAGGAGTGGTTCAATGAAATCAGGCAAGTAAAAATATTATTTGGATAGCATTCATTTCTTGGTTATTGAATCGGCACATGAAGTTAGTTGGAAATATTTATATTAAATAAGCAACTCATGATATTGGGCTTAGTTGTGGGACTTTATAGGGACACTCATGTGGAATGATAGGGGATGGAAGTAAGATAATTCGTTCATTGATTTGAGTAGGTGAGCACGAGACACATACCTCTCCCAAGCATGGTTAATTCTACACTTCGGATTCAGTGCAAACTGTTGAAGTTGGGATTAAGCTGAATAATAATACAAAAGAAACATCAGCCGGTTCCTGCTACATTCATCAAACAAACTGAAGGGTCCAGAACAAGTCCAAAAGTATCCAGCACTTTCTTCAAAATGCACTTTTGCCATCCATTCACAAAGTGTCATGGTGCATAGACTGACTACAAGCACTGCTGAGAAGGCACTTGTGCACTGAACCCATGATTATTGGTGAATTCCATACACAGTGGGGTGAACAAAGCCCTTTCTATGAAGTAATTGACGGTGTCAAGCTTAATACAGGATCCGGAGTTATGACTTGGTTACAAAATATCTAATGTAATCCTGACCAGATGTGAGAAGAATTTTCAGAACTATCCGCAATATGTCTGCATAGTAATTTAATCCTGGAGACAGATCCATCTATTAGTTAGACACAGTATTAGTTTGGGCATTTTTCAAATCACATTAATAGTCCAATACCTGCCTTCATCATTGGAGGCAAAGTACAAATTATTTGTTTGTATTAAAGTTGTAAAACAAATTTTGTTTACAGAGTTTATAGTATTTAATAAGTGGGCATATCTTGCCTAATTATTGTGTTTATTTTAAAAAATCAGTGGTTTTTTTGACACTACATTTTTGTCAAAATATTTAACAAAAGCACAGCGACCTTTGTTCCTTTTTGTTTATTTTTTTACTGCACAACATCTAGATTTCTAGGGTTCTAGATTTTATCAATCTTCAAAGATAATTATGTTGATATTAATTTTTTCTTTAGACTCCCTTCATCATGGGTCAGGTTCTTGGTCGGCAGTTGTATTTAAAACATGGCTTGAACACAACAGAACTTAGCTGGGCCCAATTTCATGGCCTTGCTTATATCCCCAGAAAATTCCGTGCTTACAGTTACTATATTTCACGGAATTGTGTGGAACTTTGGCTCGTAACAATGTGTATATCCCATAACTAAGGATTCTGTTCTTCCAGGGTTAACATAGGCATTTTTTGGCTAGCACTGTTTAATAGCACAGATTGGTGAAAGTGAGCATGGAATTCTTTGGTGTAGTGTAATTCGCCGAACAAACTTAGAAACATTTTTTTGTGGTGGTGCCACCCCCCCCCCCAAAAAAAGACGAGACACGAAGCATTATGGTTACCCAATTGGTCTTAGGAACCCAGAGTACATGCATACTAACTGAGCGTGACTCCCGCAAGCCTGGTGCCACCGCAGAAAATTACTCTGCCGAATTACTCTACAAGCAGTTGAGCTACATGTATGAAATTGGGCCCTGATATTCTCATGAAAGTGTCATCTTAATTCATCTGATAAGCAACTCAGGCAACTTCAGCCTGATGAACTGTATTGTAATGTCACTTGACAGGTTATGGTTCCAGTGAGTCTCAAAAGTAAATCAAATCATAAAAATGAGGACGGACTGACCTTTTTACCCCAACCACATTTTTTGAGAAGGTGATATACAAAAGTATCTATAAAAAAAATTATTGCCATAAAAAACAACAACCAAAACAAAAACAGTGAAGGCTTGCAAGAGATTCAATAGTGATGTACATCTATACATTTCTAATTATAAAATGAGAATTTATCTTCAAGGTAGTCCATGAATGGAGTCTAGTCCATGAATGGATGAAATGCTCACTTTTAAATCTTCAAAACTGATTTGCTGTTTTGCCTCAGAACATTTGCTAATGGTTGAAGAGATTTTGGCACCCAATGTGAGCAATTTACATAAAAAGTGTCACTTGATCCTGAAAAAAATTGTGTTGTATATGTTTTAATTTATTTGCTGTATAAACTCCTAAGACATGTTTGTTTAAGAAGCGTTTTTTTTAAAGCAAGATCAAAGAAATTTCTAAAAAAAAGACACAAACCAACACTTGTAACAACAAAGAAAAATTACTAAGAGATAAAAGCCTGAAGTTGTCCAATTATACTATGCACATTTAAAAAGATGGGGGTTTTGAGGCCTTTTTTGAAAATATGAATTAAAGACGAGTCTCGGATTTACAGTGGAATGTCGCTATACCGAACACAGATATACCGTACATTCGGCCTTGGCTCCCAATTTTTGTGTACAAACCATACCGAACATTGTTGTTGGAAATGTCAACAGAAGAGCGACAAATGGCTATTATTTCCCCAACGAAGGGTACGAAAAAGCCATCCATGTAAGCAAAAAAAATGTGTAATTACATGATTCAATAGTCGCACGTTTTCAAAGTCCTACCAGTGCGTACTCGGTGAAGTTCAGCTACGGAATTGAAAAATATTAATGGACACGTTCGGCGACTTCGCGTGTGGTTTGTAAATGCAACTACACAATAAATTATTATCAAAAGAGGGCGCCACTAATATGTGAATATCGCTATACCGAACGATCGCTATTACGAACAATCTCTGTGGATCCCACAATGTTCGTTATAGCGACATTCCACTGTAGTTAGATGTGTAAATGGAGAAAAAATTACCATAAGTATAGTAAAAAAAACAAAAACAACCCATCCCCCACAGATCTGCTACTGAATCTGAAACAAAGCACCCCCCCACCCCTCCCTAGATCTGCTACTGAATGGTGGGCATGATTCTAGGATAGGAGGGGGACAACTTACCTGATCCACATGTAGCTGAGCAATCTGACCATCTGCTGCTTCTCCAGCCATATTTGATTGGTACAAGGTAGCGGTAGTGGACAGTCTCGGGCTCTGCTGAGGGCTGGTTAAAAAGAACCTGCCAAACAAACAAGGCATTAGTTAGTGTTAGTAGGCTGTCATGAATACCCCGAAATATTTGATTATTCAATCACTAACCGAATATTCAAATAGAGTTTTGCCGGTTTGAATATTCAAGAAAAAAAGGGGAAAAAACTGTGATGTTATTTTAATCGTTAAGTTGTGCCGCTTTATTATCATATGCAACTGTTCTTGGTCGACAGTGGTTTGCTGTTCCCATCCTTTTGGCAGATTAAAACCCTTGAAACTTATAATAAAATACCTACTGTAAAACACTCAAGCCGTCCATAACATGCAACTTTTTACCCGCGTTGCACGCAGCGCGTGTAAAATTTGAACACAGAGTTTCAAATAATGGAAAAGTTGGTGAAACGCGGTTGGATCACTCTATAAATTTGGGGACAGGGTCCCACTTCTTTTGGTATCTCTATTGCATCTGATATATAAGATTTTGTACATTCAGAACACACTCTTGAATGCCTTCTACTTAAGGACCAAGAGTGATCATGTAATTCAAAGTACCTCCTAAACAAATAAGAATAATAAGAAAAAAATCTTAAAATTAATGTGGCCTAAATTGCGAACTTAGCAAGTTCTTCTTCAGAGGCTAAAACAGAAATGACAGAGGTACATACATTAACATGGGGGTGCACACAAACATGCAGGGCTGAAAGAAGAAACACAAAAGGAGGAGTAGGTGTGAAAGGTGTGGAAAGATGCAGGGGAGGGTGGATGAGAGAACAAAGAAACAAAGGGAGATGGCAAACCACAAGGGGTCTAGTGTAAACAGGGGAGGGACCAGAAAGGGGAAGGATCAAAGGTCACAGGGAGTGGGAACGGACAAAAGAGTGTGAGAGTGAAGGGATGATGTGGAGGGGGGGGGGGGGGAGGGAACAGTATTGAGATGGAAAGGGATGAAAGATGGGGGAAGATGGGTAAACACAAACAAGGAAGACCAGATGGATTATCTGTAACAGAAGACAATGGAGGAAGAAAAGGATTAATCATTTCCAAGTTGGATGTTGAGACCATGTGGTTGAATAGTTCGAAGACGATTCATCCACACTTTGTCTCTGCTGAGGCGAACTGAGTCCTTGCGATGGCCAAGAGATTCAATGCCCTGCAAAATCATATCAGAAATGGAGTGGTTAGGCAGGTTGAAGTGATGACCAACAGGGGTGTCTAGTTTCTTGGTGTTGACCGTTGACCGGTGGGCATAGAAACGCTTCTTGAGCGTATTCTTAGTCTCACCTACATACTGCACTCCACAGACCCTGCAAGAAATGAGATATATGACATTAGAGGTGTTACAAGTGATGTTACCAATGGTTCTGTGGGTAGTGACAGAAGAGTGGCCAGAAAAGGAGTCAGACTCCTGGATAATAAGAATAATAAGAAGTCATTTTCAATGATAGTTTCATGTCAAATTACACACAGGTCAGGTGTAACAGGGCCACCAAACTGTCACACTTTTGGACCCCAAATTTATGGACTGACCTGAGTAATTGAACACTAAATTCTTTGAAAATGAACAGCCCTAACTTTTGGCACTCCTCTATTTTCACCCCTCTATTGGTTTCACGCATTTATTTTTAACTTCTTACAAAAAAAAACTCAAGGTGTTTATCATTCCAAAATTACATTTGTAGCCTCAAGCAGTCTGTCTTATTTAGATTGACACTGTGCTTTTATAATTTTGAATGGGACTTGGGGAGAGAAAGTGTCATTTTTACCACCAGTTTGGGCAGTTAAAGACGATGTGTTTTACCCAATGATTTCCCTCAGAAAACAAAACCCTTTCCTCTCTCCACAAATTCATTCTACTGATATTCAACATGGTATCACTGCCATCAGTTGGTTTTTGAACAGAGTCCCAAAAGCAACTAATGTCACAAACAAAAAAATATGGAATGTTTAACAGGTGAAGATGATTCCCTGTATCCAGGAAAATAATTTGGAAGAACAGAAAAGAGAGGAACGTTGTATAAGACTTCATACAGTTAAAATTGGCATAAATGTGATTTAAGTGGGAAAAAAATAATCAGCATAGCCAAGGAAATTTTCCATGCTTGTATAATTTAATGCATGTTTCTGTATAAGAGAAATTCACAAAATGTTAATTTGTTCAGGATATAACATGCTTCTGAAGCTGCTAGGACTTAGAACGTTAGTTTCTGAATTTTGAAAATGTTATTCACATGGGTGCCTCACAGTGTACATGAATGTCCCCTTTCTTCGAAGAATGTGAACCAAAATGATATCTCAGTGCATATTTAATTCATTTTGGAAAGCATGAAATAAGCCTAATGTAAAAACCTGCTTGCGTCAGTATAATAATATGATATCATTGGAAAATTACAATACATGTACATTTTGCATGACATTGAAAGTTCAGCATACATGGTAACTTCTGCCATCTATTGGCAAGAAAAGAGAATGCATGCACCTTCACTTTGTGTTTGCTGCCCTCTATTGCATCCAAGTTCTTATAATTAGCATACAGGTTCCCCATTGGTCAAAAGTTCAACACAGTGCAAGAAATGCAACCATGCCAGCATATTGTGTATCTGCTGCCCTCTGCTGGCAAGATTTTTGTGAGAGAGATGAAAAAGGCTAGATCTGTCTATAAAACATGACATAAGAAAGCAGGAATTGGGACACTTGACTAAATACAGACAAGATTTGATCAATTGGGAACCCAAATGGCAGTGATTTATGAAACGAAACGCGACGAGAGAAGAATGCACCGAGTTTGTTAAATGTGCCTAGTCAGTGTATGCATATCCCACAATGAATTATCTTAGCATAGTGCTATTTCTGCTCAATTTCTGAACGATTGTGCACAAATGTTGCCATGCCAGGTTCAAGGGCGGATCCAGGGGGGGGCCAAAGGGGGCCATGGCCCCCCCCAAAACGAAATCAATTTTTTTTTTTTTATGTGACATCGCAATAACGGCAGGCAATGAGTACACCACCATCTTTTCCTCAAAAAAAAACATTGGTTAAAGTGGTCAGAAATTGCCTCAGATCGCACCACAGAGCATCTAGAATCCAAAAAATTTTCGGGGCCCTTAAGCGGGCCCCGAACCCCACGCCGTAATTTTTTTGACCCACTTTTTGACATCGCAATAAAGGCAGGCAATGAGTACACCACCATCTTTTCCTCAAAAAAAAACATTGGTTAAAGTGGTCAGAAATTGCCTCAGATCGCACCACAGAGCATCTAGAATCCAAAAAAAAATTCGGGGCCCTTAAGCGGGCCCCGAACCCCACGCCGTAATTTTTTTGACCCACTTTTTGACATCGCAATAAAGGCAGGCAATGAGTACACCAACATCTTTTCCTCCAAAAAAAAATTGGTTAAAGTGGTCAGAAATCGCCTCATATCACACCACAGAGCATCTAGAATCCAAAAATTTTTCGGGGCCCTTAAGCGGGCCCCGAACCCCACGCCGTAATTTTTTGGACCCACTTTTTGGGGGAACCAAAAATTTTTTTGGCCCCCCCCAAATTTGTGTTCTGGATCCGCCCTTGGCCAGGTTTCTGCACAACAGGAATGTATCATCACTGCGTTGATGTATACTTGTCCCTAGTGGCCTTCCATTTAAATTTTTCTCTATTTTTCATTTCCAGGTTTTAGTTTCTCATTATTTGTATTATGCATCAGTTTGGTTCCACCTCAAGTGCCCCCCTCAACAATGAAATGAGATGCTAAAATGATTGTGTGTCTGCGTGGAGTTAATGCGTTTTATGGCACACTGGTCAGTTCGTAGGCCCTAGGTACATGCCTATTGGATAATCCGGCCCTGATACATTGCATTTGGCAGATACTTACAAAGACAATAACCGGTTCAGTCAGAGGACCATCAATATCTGCATGTTCTCTGCCACTCTGTAAGCTAGTGTACTGCACGATACTGTCCCCTATCCTGTATTCACCAGAGCCAATAGGAGGTGGTTTCTGGTTCAGGCTAGCCCGACTCCACTGCCCTCTCAGGCCTAAGTAATTGGACCCTTTACTCGTCAGTCTGATGGACGTACTACCTTCGGGAATGGTGAAGAGTTCTTTGATGCTTATTGCATCTGAAGAAACAAAAAAATAGAAAAGAAAGAATGATTAAGAAATTATGTGCCTTGTATTTGAGCGTAAGTGAAGAACTAGTTTCTGTATCAAAATTCATGTACATACGTACTTCTATACCCCACAGAAATCTTAAAATAGAATTCCATGACTTTTCCAGAACAAAATCAGGGCTTTCCCTGACCAAATCCTATGCTGCTTCAGCATCCAACAGAATCCTGTACAATTAACTGGCCAGCCATCACACCGAGGCAAGTGATGCCACTCCCTTTCAGCCGTCCAGTTTGATACAAGACTGCCGAGCACAACAAAAGCATCGAAATGGTGCACCAAAAGTGCAACAAGTATGAGCTCCGTGCGCTAAAGAAAGAGGGCGCCCTTTTACCTAGCAACGACGTCCCATGGGCGAGACATTTAGCTGGTTGACGCGCACCGTTCCTTGTGTGTGACGCACGTACACCAGGGGATTTGTACTATGTACACGAAGTGGCCGTGCTTCGCGGCAAAAAATTGCAGTCAGGCAAGATGGTGCCGTTCGGTCATCCCCAACTGTACTTTCTTTGTCGGTGAGGGAGTACTTGTGAACGGAGTACACTGGAATGCAAACTGGAAGACTGTCATACCCAAATATTACTGTCATCACATCTGAGTTGTAAAAGATGACTTTTCAATGGCTTCTCTTGGTTGGAAAATCAACATTCCATGACTCCTTGCAAAATAACAACATTCCACGACTTTTCCATGATATTGGGAACCCTCCTTGCAATGCTAAACCCTATAAAACACAAACTTCAGTTCTAAAACACAAGTTAATTGAGCTGCAGCTAGCTCACTTTCCACCAATATTTTTTGGAAAGGTCTAAGTGACCTTCCAATTAAATGTTGATGACTACTTTATCAAAAAAATGTATACAAGGAACGCTCATTCAGCTTAATTAGTAATAAGACTGCTGATACAAACTGACATTTTCAGAACTAACAACTGATGGCAAGGCACCAGGTTTATTTGGGATAAGCCAATCACACCACGGTGTAGAAATGTGGCTGCGTCAGGCTTATCAACATCCAGGAAATACAATTATGAAACCATCCCAGGGACAGCTACTTCAGAGAGAGATTAGAAGCATCATTCACCCTCCAGCAAATAGGATAATTACGGTGACAGGGACCATACTGCCCTTTCTAATCAAGCTGGCTTCTGAACAGTACCGCTGCACTATTTGAGTTGATTTAAATTGATCAATGTACTCTTTGAGTTTGAGAACATCCGTGTTCAGAAATGTTGGTGTTTTTTTGGCAGAGTGGCCGTGAGGGAGTATTGTAGCTAATTCATAAATCCTGTAGAATCTTCTCAGTGTTCAAAAAGGTATTAACAAATATACAATTGACAATTTGGGTTTTTTTCAATTGCAGAGAGAAGTACCATTCAACATATCAAAATGCAACCAATGTTGAAACACCAATAAGTCTCATAAAACACACTGCAACCTATGCGTATACATTTGTATCTGCATTATTAACGAATGTACTGTCCAATCCATGCTATTTTCGAGTTTCAACCCTCCAAAATCCTGTAGATGTCATTTCTATATTTCTACTTCCCATTGAGTAATATGAAATAATTATGTCAAACATTTTAGATTATTTACAGCCAGGCAATAATTCGGTTCCTGCAGGGAATGACCCTCAGATCAATCACAGACATGTTCAGCCACATTGCAAAGGAAAGTATGGGACGTGACTCGAATGCAAAGTTTGGTAAACTCGATCCTAGGACGAGTCATGAGATAAGACAAGTTACCCTTCATAAATGATGTCTTAGCATTTCACAAAATCGGCCCCTGCATGCCCAATTAGTCTATACAATGGACTGATATGACTGTTGACCATTTTCTGGGACCCTTTTCTGCTACCCTGGATCAGCTGATGTGTGTCATTCATTCCCTAGTGTCTCAATTCATCATCTCTTCAATTCACAAATCATTACTGACACCACCTTCAGGAGTTAAGTGTGAAACTCCAGCACCTGGGTAAGCTTGTGAGGGGTGTTGAAGGGGCAGTTCCTTCCTGTTGTCCAGCCTGATAGTGACAGACAGTCTTCTAGTCAAGGGCGGATCCAGAGAGGTTAGCCAGGTGTCCCCATCCCTCCCTAACTGCTGCAGAGGGTGCATGGGGGAGGAAGAGCTCTCTCAATTGAAAAATGGCCTTACTTGAGAAAATGTCGGTCACTGCTCAGGGGGGTTGGGGATTTGGGCAGGTGCCCCCTCCGCACTGACCTGGATCCGCCACTGCTAGTGGTCATTTCCAACTGCAATCTATACTTAAATGAGAAGCAATCTATGCAGTTTATATAGACCCAAAATTGCACAAGCTGATCTAATCACTGTTTGTATGCACTCAGTTTTATTTTTCAACAGAGTTTTGTGGCCTTTCCACATGGAAGTTTGTAGCCAAGTGTCACAGGTTTTAACCCAAAAATTGGAACTTAAATTACTAATACGAAAATGTGCACGGAAATTTCCTATTTTAACCATGAGGCTGCTTTCTGACTAAACATGTGGATGCAATAAGCTGAAACCTTTAAAATCATCATAGAAGTGTAGGACAACAGAGAAAGAAAATGGTAGGACTGTCACTCTGAAATCACATGGAGTGTAAAAGCCTTTAAGGCCTTGCTGTTCATGTCAGTGACAGCACCAGACTATTAGACTCTTGTTTGGCTTCTCCATGCCTAATGATGATGTGTGCATATTACCTTGCTTTCAACAGAGTGAATGGCTAATACTCCCATTGACTTTTGCTGGGGATAAGATGCGAAGTGACAACATAATGACAATAATTGTGAATGAGTATTAGTTGTGTATCCAGCCACTCATCCTATCCATAATTCTAAGAATGATGGTAGATATGGTACAATGCCTCAAAGCACTTTGGCAAAATTACTTGAATTTTTGTCACCTGTGACATGAAGGGTGTAAGGGAGTAGGGCCAATTACCCCTTTCAAATGAAGGTACTCAGATACTATAAATAATACTGTGTAATAATACCTACACAGTGCTTACGGTTAACTTATTAGTGTTTCCATTTTTCTGAATTTCACTTATTTTATACTTGTACTTAGTATCACTGATGAAAGGGTTTGAACTGCACAGAAAAATGTTGAAGGTAATATTGCCAATCCACCCTGAGCCAGTGACTCCTATGAAATGCAGACTTAAAGACATTTGACAATGACTCAGCAAACAGAACAATGATAAATCACTGATGTATGCGAGGCTGTGAGTTTGTATGAGGTAAAATACACAAGAATTCATTGGAATCCAAATTTCACATGACAACTGCAAAAATAAGTACTATTCTTCTACTCTGGCAAAGTTACATGTCTGTGACACCCCCCCCCCCTTTCAGCAATTTTGGATGTTTTGGCTGTACGTGAAATCAATCTCATACAGAAAGCAATATTCACCCTATTCTAGCCCCCTCCCTGTCCCTGTCTATGATAAAAAGCAACTGCTGTGAACAATCTTCCTCAATTACGGACACAATGAGTCAAATCTAGCCTCAGAGAAATAAGCTTCCACACAGTAACATTATTCATAAGAGGGATGAGTAACCACTGAACCTAAGCAATTGAAGAGTTTCTTTCCAAAATGACACATATCCATTTGAAAAAGTTAAAGATTAATTTGTTTGGTTAAGAGCTGTTTCTAAACTTCAATTTTTGCCTAATTGCATTCGAAAGTTGTGTTTTATAATAGTGTATAATTAAATTGCTTTCGGAACAGTGCAGAATGAAATTGCTTTTGGAAATTGAGGAGAGAGCCGGATTTTAAAAGGGAACTAAACGGCACATATCGCATTTTGGAAATAAACTCTTGATGTGTCCATTAGGTTTTTTTACCAGACAATTTACTGAAACACTTGGTGATGAAATTCAGCAATTTTTGACAAGTAAGCCTACGCCCTGTGATAGAAAACTCACATATTCAAATGAAGCATCACAGAAAAAGTATACAGCTAAAATGCACGTTTGTGACAGGTGGCTGCCAAAAGAAGAGTCAAGGATTGATAGACAGAAACCTTTCTGAAAAGCTGGTGTTGTAATTCAGTATAACTTTTAACAGGTAAGCCGTTATGGAAACCCACATAATCAAATGACACATCAGCAGAAAATTATGCAACCGACATGCATGTTTGTCACAGCTAGGCTGCTGATAAAAAAAGAGTCAAGGATAGGCCATAGACTTTGTTCCACAATTGACTAAATTCCAGCCTATCTGCTGATGGGAATGTCTGACCCTGGTCCTAAGAAACACTGGAGCAAATAGTCCGCTTAATTTTCCTTGCATTTCAGACAAGACTGCCCCATGGCTACACTGCTAAGTCTTTGGAGGAAGGTTCTTGTCAAGCAACTAGGTGACAGGACTGGGCACTTGGAGGGATGCCTCAAAGGACACTCCCCTCAGGGAGCACTGAAGAAGCACTTAAAAACATGATCCCTGAAAAAATGTAGTTTGCACCCAGTTGAGATGCCAGGATGCAAGGATGTATTGTCCACCATTTTTTTGCAAATCAATGTGAGCACAACCAGATCTGATCTCCCCCATGTCAAAATGACACGTTGGATTTTCTATCTGGGTAGAGCTTCTAAACCCAAGAGCAGATCTGGAATACAATTTTTTTTGGGGGGGGGGGGGCCAAAAATATATTTGATCCCCCAAAAAGTGGGTCAAAAAATGGGGTCTACCCGATGTTCCCCAATATGTTTCCCAATACCGATGTTCCCCGACATTTTGTAGCTTTCTTAAAGGCTTGGTCCCTGGCTACATGGCACACACGGGTATACATAGAGCTTCTAGCGCCCTTTCACTCAGGAGGTAACACATTGAGTATACAGTGTTTGTACGTCGGTGAAGGGCAAAACCTTCACCCTGATGCAAAATTCCATCTTACGAATCATTTGAAATTAAGATTGTGATTACGACTGCCCAGCATGAATTG